CAACGATTAATGTCAATCATCATCATCAGCCTATTAGTGCCCACTGCTGAGCAAAGGCCTCTTCTCACACGCAGAAGCTTTGAGCATTAATCACCACGCTTGCTCAATGCGGGTTGGCGATTTCAAACTTATAATTATAAATTATAAGTCCAGGTTTCCTCACGATGTTCACCTTTATCGTATGTCAGTGGTGTCTAAATAATCATAGAAAGTACATATAACTCGGCAAAAGTCACATTGGTACTTGCCAGGTTTCGCCCACACCCTCATGCATGAGAAGCGGGCTTCTTAGCCTCCGGGCAACCACCACACATTAATGTCAATAATCTATCTTAAACCTTAGATACGGGTCAAGCTCAATAATGTACCGCGGCCTCGGCCTAGAACAGGAGAAAGAACAAGATGGGTTTTAGTCAGTAAGAGGCTGTCATTCCCTCTCGCCCCACATAGAGATAGAGAAGACATTTGATGATTTTCCTCCTTAAAAAAAGCCTAAGATATTGTATTGAGTCATTCATTGATTTCGGACATTAACTGACACCATCGATATCGCCGATGACTATGACGCATACGCATACAAATTTTGATACACTTCAAGTAAAAAATACGATATCCGCTATTAGACAAACAAAAATTTATCCAGAATAAAACTGAAACAGGGATGTGTCGAGCCTTACCTAATACAAGCTTGTTAGTTTAACCAGCCCGAGAATAGAATAATTTCCTAATATAGTATTTTTTTTATTTTATTGTTTTTAAGCTATTAACATAATCCGATTACAATTTCTAAAAAGCTCTACCGTAACTCGAAATATTAACCCTTAAACTACATTACATCGAAATGTGCCCATGGCTAACGTTGACAAATAGCTTATTTATGTTCAATCTTATATAGCTTTCTATCTTTTCTGTGCATTATTTGGGCAAATAATAAGTTCACTTCTTACAAAATTATTACTTTTAATAGGTACCAGTTAGTTATACTTATGTATATATGTAAGGTAGGGTCGCTGGTTAAGCGCAATAAGGTGCCCCAACCGGTAAAGGAACGTGGCGGTTTTTAGTCAGTAAGAGTCTGACACTCCTTCTCGCCATATGATTGACGATAGAAGTCATTGATCATCCAAAATAACGGTCAATGATGTATCGCGGCCCAGTTCGAAACAAGAGAAGTTCTTAGTCAGTAAGAGTCTGCTGACACTCCGTCTCACATTGCTCAAGACGGGAGAATTCATTGGCTGATAGAAAAAAAAGAAGAGTAAGGGGGGTTTCAGTTACCGCCTACATATGCTTTTTTTATGTAATAGATCGGCAAACGAGCAGACGGATTACCTGATGGTAAGCAATCAGCGCCGCCCATGGCCACCCGCAACGGAGGAGTTAAGAGTGCGTTGCCGCCCTCTTAGGGATTAGGGTTTTGGTGATAAAGGGATTGGGGAAGGATCAGGGGAGGGGAACGATTGGGCCTCCGTTAACCTCATTCACGTGGCGAAACACAACGCTGTGGTTGTTTCACGTCGGTTTTCTGTGAGGCCGTGGTATCACTCCGGTCGAGCCGACCGACCCATTCGTGCCGAAGCATGGATCTCCCACACTTAAGGTTTGAGAAACCAACGAAATATGAACAAGCATCCCTACCTATTGCTTATTTATTTGTAAAATGATTGCATCTCCTTGTACTAAATTGGTAGGTGCAAAATGAAAATACCTAGTCCTTTGTGATACAGTATCAGTTGATAAATAGGCACTTAAAACTAAATACCACCTGCACTACTTAATCGTATGCATCTGAACATTTGTGACGTGGTATCAAACCTTTTCCTTTGAAATAAAGATTAGATTTAAGTGTTTTTCTACTCTAGTTTTGTATCTGGAAAGAGTGATCTGGTACGACTTCAAAATATATTTTTTCCATGAGAACAGCTATGAGTTTTAATTACTTTTGCGTAGGTATAGTATTACTTTACCTACATTATGATATTCTTACAATACAATCTTCAATGGATAGTACAAAACTTTATTGATATATTTTGTTTCGAAATACTGATTAGGTATAGAACATTGATAGACTCTGGAATTGCTGTTACTCCATATAAGAACAATAGGTGTATAGATTTACCTCGTTAAAAGTTATATTGGATTAAGATCATATTGTTACTTAAATCATCACGCATGCATAGTATAACTTGTCCTTATGCTGTTTCAATGGGCAGTATGTATATATAAGTAGGTACAACGTAGATAACAATACACAGATCAGCTAGGAAACGCAGTTTTCGAGCGTATCTCCTCTCATTGCTTCAAAAAAAACAGGTAATGACCATTTATTTCACAGGTTTCGAACGCTGTGATAAAATGACAAAGGTTGCTTTGTTTGTCGGACCTATCTGATGATGTCACGCTGGTGAAGCTTGTACAAATACCTACTGTTGGACATATAATTCAAACTATATATTAATTCAACAGTTTTCCTATTTCCTCATAAAATTGTAGATACAAGATTTTAACATCTCAAGATAATACTAAGAAATGCCTCTCATTGAGAAAAACAAAACTGGTTCCCATGACGTCTAAGTGCATAATTGCATGTCTAATGTTGTCACACATCAGCTTAACAATATTTATCATATTACAGTACTCGTTAGGTCATATTTCCATAACTATCAGCTAAACTTATTTAGATAAAGTTGCATGCCGTGTGAATGTCACGGCTCGTAAATGCAGCCGGCTAGTAGCACTTTCACTGTCAGACGAAGGATTTGAATGCGTCCGATTAAACTATGACATGAACTACTTGAGACAATCCTAAAATCCCAAGGCTTATGTTTATATGGAGTTTTGGTCGTTTGACCTTCACGCCATGAGCCGATAACACTGCAATGCTCATATCTTTCCACACACACATATCTCGCATACGACGTGGATACAACGATTGATCGTGCGCCCGCGCCGCTTCGTCTTATCACTGCCTACTTGATAATGATTTTAAAATACGTTTGCCTACTTACGCCTTGACAGCCAGGGATTACTTCTTTAAATTGTTCTTGAAAATTACGGGAGTTCAATCATCTAACAGTGTTCGATCATGTCTACGGATGTGTTCGAAAACGGTATCACAGAAACTTGTGCTAATAGCTGTCATTACTAGACATGGCTTCTGGGCACTGCAAATAGTCTGACGGTCCGATTTTTTGTACGGTCTGATTTGTTATGAAAAATACAGATGATTGGCTGGTTTACTTATCCGTATTTTCTCGGATGATCTCGCATTTAAGTGTAGTCTTTGAAAGCACACGTGTAACAGACGTAATTACGGCGGTATGAGTTTCTTAGAAGGTCAGCAGCTACTTCTTTTATTACTCTACATGCGAAGACAACCGTTAGGTATAGGTAGAAAAGATCCAGATTATATTGAAAAATAATATGTCAGGCAGTACAACTATAGGCACAAATGCACGAGTTGGTATATACATATATTATAGCACGACATATGAAACCGTGAAAAATCGTACTATTAGACTGTAAAATTCCTTGTAGTGCACCATCGAGGTTACTCGTTATTGTTATGTTTCGGTTAGAATTAATTATTTTCAATTAATAAATGCTGCTTTTTAATTTTGAAGGAATCTTTCATGATTATGTTTAACGCTCATGTTGACTCACGTAAATTGTTTGCCGAGAAAACTCTACTAGTTTCAAGCCACGTTTGGGACTCATATTAATACTTAAAATTATTTAAGTGGTCTTCTTATCTTAGAAAATTATATTTTTATACAAAACTATGACTGAAGTTAGTGGGTGCCAACAGGAATACTCATGATTAATGTAACCTAGTTTTGGCAAAACCACCTAGATACCTACTTTGATAGCCATACAGTTACAAAGATAAATATTATTTTCAAAGACTAAGTACGCCTAACTCTTCGCAACCAGCATAGCCACTTACCTTTAGAGTACGAAGTAATATTATCAAGCCAGAAAGAAAATTAACTAAGTCTGCGCTATTCAATTCAAAATTATCGAATACAATCACAATTCATTTCGTAATCATCCAAGTATTTACAAAGGTTTTCTAAAGAACTGCAAGAGTACCTACTTGTATATTATTGTTGAAAGCTACATTTATCAAGAAGTAGGTGAACAAGCTGGTACCAGCATATTAAATACCAATGCCACTTACAATTAGTTTTATGGCACTTTTCTAAACCGCAACCACAGGACGTTGCTTTACCTAAATAGATAGAAATACGATGGAAGTAAACGGAAAACATTTACAAATATTTAATTAACTTAACGTACCTAAGATAAAAAATTAAGATTAATGTTGTACCTATAGGTAACTCTTTTTCTATCACATAAAACCTACGCATTAGGTACTTCCTTGAGAAATATCATATTTGAGAGATTAAAAATGTTGTCTCCGAAATTGTAAAGCTACGTTTACTCAGTATTATTAAAAGTAGGTAAAGCCGTTGAGCTGTGTGACGTCACACTAATCTACCGTCATTTTAGATCATTCATCATTAATCCAAACAAGTCAGTTTATCAAGTACGGTGCTACGTGGCTCTTGTTGACCATAGGACCTAATATTCCTTAAATGACATTACGAAAGGAACGACCTTGACTGCCTTGTATAAAAGTAACAAGAAAGAGTATTAAATAGACATTGTTTCCTTCATTTGTAAACTTTGTTATCTACGTATGTTTGGTATTTCGTTGGTTGTGCAAACATGTCATTTCATTTAAAACTCTACACACACCTAATCTACATAAATTATCTGCGACATGTTGAATCTCTTTTATACAGTTACAATTATTTGCGGATTTTTATTATATATTTTAGTATTTCTAACATTATGGTCTACGTCTACATATCGCCATAAAGAGCTTTATTATATTTGTCATTCCAAAAATATTCATGATCTTTCCACTTTTAAGCGGATCGTGTTGTATCTGTAAATGTTGATTGATTTAGTAATTCAAACATTTGTTTGGACAGGCCCCCTGACGAGGATACAGCCTCACATGAGAGTGACTGCGAAGAGGAAGAAGAGGACACAACAGCCCACCTAAAGCCCCGCCGACCTTTCTGGGCCAACAAAATACAATTTGTGTTAGCATGCGTTGGCTACTCCGTTGGCCTCGGCAATGTGTGGAGGTTCCCCTACCTGTGCTACAAAAGCGGAGGAGGTAACATTATTACAATTGTATATTTCATACTAAACTAGCCTTTCATAATATCTGTGTACAAAACTATCATAGTTATATATTGTATTTGTCTTTGCAAAGGTAAAATGTAGACTTAAACTAATATTAAAAAAAAAGACTTATAGATGCACCCGATACTGTAATACAGAATAAGTGAGACTGTTTATAAAAAAAATACAAATACAATAAATAAAATAATTGAATAAATTACGGTCAAAGTTCTGTGCGAAGAGCTGTATGTATCTTCGCCTCAAAAGCGTATGTTACGGCCATGTTGCGTGGCTGTTGCATTGTCGTATTCCTAACGAGTATCTAAATCGGTATAAAAATAATTTGGATACTTACCGTTTTACATTGTTAGTAAATATGATAACTAATATACTTACTTATGGTGGTTACACATATTTATCTGAACCATACTTAATAACAATATTGTTTAAACGGATTTGTTAGGGTAGAAAATCCCGACGTAGCCGTTGCGTAGCCGATACGTATCCAATTCGTAGCAGCTACATATCTGATCCGTGGTCACTCCGTAGTCCATAATTACCAACCTAACATGCAATCCGGAACAGCTGCTTAAACTTTATCAGGCGCAAGTTCGATCGGTTATGGAGTACTGCTCTCATCTTTGGGACGGATCTGCCCGATACCAACTTGATGCGCTTGAGTCTATTGAGAGGCGAGCCAATAAAAAAAACCCTGCGAAGCCACACAACATTTTTGCAATTCCTTCGTAGTTTATACCATATAATTGATCTAAATGCCATTTACCTCTAATTTCTTTCTTTTATCTAAATACAAAGACCTGGTTTTTCCCGAAATAAGTTTCTTTAAGTCATAAAAAACTATCGATATATCGTTCCGTTTATATACTAAACTTGACAATTTACAATCAATTTTATATCTTGTAACGTAAAACGATTATACGGTATTATTATTATCATGACAACTTCAAAATAAACATTAGGCCGTAGTGGAAAAATGTTATGCCTAAATTATGTAATTTAAAGTTAAGGCTATTGATTTCGGAAATTAACAGAAAACGGTTTATTGGTGCAGGTGCGTACACGACGAACAATCTTAATGACTAACAATAGGTCACACCCACTCGATTACAAAGTAAAGATTAGGATTTTGTCGCCGAATAGATACGACAAACGTATTATTTCGTCGTATCATTTTATTTCGTACGAGCACATTTTCGCAGTAATTGAGCTAATAACAGATCGTCGCCGCGCAAATTAACTCATTAAGGCGACAAAAAGACGATCGTGTCCCGCGTGACATTGCATTAAGTCTATACTAATGACCGGCACTTTACACTTGAAAATGATCGAAGCACGATATTACGTATAATGTGGATACAATTCAGTGGCCGTGAGGACATCGATTATGTTTTTATCACGTGTTAATAATTATATAACTATTTAATTCTTATCGAGTTTACGATGCCGATTCTTTGCGTGCCTTATACATCAGTTTGCTGAGCATTGTAATTTTGATTTGACTTTAATTGTTTTTTTTTATTTCAAAAAACATTGAAGTAACAGACTACTCTGTTTTTCAATAATGTGTAGATATTTTGTGTGACTTTGTTATAAAACGTAAGTAATCAATAGCTAGATATCATTTAACCAAGGCATCATATCTTGAAGTACGTCATAATTATATTAATTAGATATAACACCTGTTCTATTATTCAGTTTTAGATACCTACCTATTTATTTAAATGCATAGATAGATACTATAAGCCCTTTACTGGAACTGATGATTTCTATCATTTATTCTTACGTGTATGTATACTCATATCCGTAAATGACAAATACATTTTATGTTTGCGCTTGCACTGTTATTATTTAACTATAATAAAACGATAAAGCCATACATGGATCATAAAATATTTTTGTCAAATAACAGGAAAAGTTAGTCAGCAAGGTAAAATATATAATGTACACACGAGATCGTGTCCAAGATGTTTGTGTGTTTATGTCGCGGCGCGCTAACTAGCTGGTTGACGCCAAGGCACCAACACGATCCAACGACACTACAATACGGTGTGAATTGCAACTGATGCCTACGGTAAACTAACACCTGACACCGCCTAGATGTATTTACGAGATATCAAATGATTTATTGCCCGATATATATAGAAATCACTGCAGATATTTAAATGACATGGTTTTGATTACACGTTGAAAAGTTTTGCATTAAAGTACTAGATATGTCAACTACATACGTCATAATATATCACATTATTTCGGCAGAAAATTGTGCAAAAATCAACAATTTCTATGTCTCTCTTTTGAAATTTCTCACATACCTACCTATAATCCGATTTTTTTTAACAGAACCTTCGTCACCTAAATCGTCTTTTGTTATTTTATTTACATAAAAGTCAGAGTTTGATTTGTCAAAATGGTCAACTGATAAAGTAGGTTCCGACGTTGCATATTAAGTCTTGTCATCGTGTTAATCAAGGAAAATCTAGCACTGAATAATGATAGATCAGTGGTTTTATTATTTTTGTAACTATTTTACTATTTAACAATATAATAATGGCACGTGTTTTAATGACTCACATTACGTAATTGTTTACGTAATCAAATACATGGTTACACCTATAGGTATTTATGTATATATCAAAACCTACAACCGGGTACAGACATGTAAACATAAAACCAGAATGACTAAAAATACTTTCTTAGAAGACGATAACAAAAAATAGTCAACTAAACTAAATAAATACGACGTGGGAACAAAGACGTATATACTTATTTGTTTAAATGTAAGTATCGCACCAGATAGGTATTGTAGAATTTCAAGTGCGGTGACCTAAACGCTCTGCAAGACATTTAAATATAGACATGAAATACGTTTTGTGCTTCAACTAACAATGGTATTCATTCCAACAGTTTTCTGAAAAAAGTAGGTAATTCTTTTCTTCTACATATTTGTGCTAAATTCCAAGAAACTCCTTTAAAACAATAAAGTCGGTGAGAACATACTTGCTATCAATTTATTAACCGATATTCCTACATTGAAATCTTATCAAGGAAATAGATCATCCTCTCATTCGCTACCACGGAACTACAACATCGGTACCTTATAGACAGAAATTAAAACTGTTTAGGCACTTACAAGTCATAACATAATGACTCTACCTACCTGTGCCTGTATAATCGGATGAGCAAATGACTAGACTAATTACGACAGTTCCTGTAGGTCAACTCATTACTATCAAGGATAAAACTGACGACGCTACAATTGACCACTAGACGACTGTCCAATCCAAGTCTGACAAGGTTTTAATCCTAACTTTATAAGTGGCCCACTTATCTTTACGGTGACTAATTTTAGTTCAAACATTCCATTAACATTCTTTCTTTAGCTGGTGCTGCTGCGACCAGATGTGGCCCACATGCTACAGACTGTTCTCACGTGAGGTCTAAGGATACTAATTAATGTGACATTACAAAAATAACTTTCCACCTCCGCATACTTACGTTGCACGTTGCATAGCCAACATGTTTTATAGAAAAGAAATATAAAGTACAACTAGCTCTTCACCTGCAAAGTGCCCGCGTTCTCCAATTCACCAAATATGTATGATAAAGTCTGACTTAGGAAATTCTTAACAATACAAAGAGGTCCAAGGCCGCTTCGTCTCGGTCCCCTATCTCGCAATATTATGTATATTCACCTCGATTGGTCCGCCTCGCCGGCAATAAGTCGGTCATTCACACTTCCACATGTACATACGTACCTAGAAACCAACTACCAACCATTTGATGAAGAGTTATGACAACTGCAATGGTCCACTGCACTCATTACATTAGTAATAAAAATGTAAGAACACAATGCATATTACAATAATGTTATTTACTTTGTTTCAGGAGCCTTCCTCATACCCTATTTTATAATACTCTTAGTATGCGGTGTGCCAATGCTTTTCATGGAATTGGCCGTGGGCCAGTACACAGCTCACGGTCCCATTGGTGCCTTGTCACAAATTTGCCCTCTCTTTAAAGGTGAGCTAAGAAAGTCATTGTTATCTTGTACCCGATTTTAACTAAAAATCTATTAACAAACAAGTAACACTGTCATATTTGGAAAATTTTCAGGTGCGGGCTTAGCCAGCGTAGTGATCTCATTTCTAATGTCCACGTACTATGCGGTGATCATAGCGTGGGCCATCTATTATTTCTTCACGTCATTCAAGACAGAAGTACCGTGGGCGAGCTGTTCGAATCGATGGAACACGCCGCAGTGTTGGGTGCCCAACCATAACATGACCAAGCCCAATGGCTCCCAAACGCCCACCGAACAGTTCTTCGAGTGAGTATATAAATAATCCTAGCTTGTGCTGATATGATATTATGTGCAACGGACATGGAAATACACAACTTTTATAATATACAATTAAATTATCTATACGTCATGTTCGTAGATTTTAATCCTTTCATGCAATCACATAATATATCTACTACTTAATCAAGATGAAGCACTTGCAATTAATATTGGATTATGCCGTAAACAATTCACGTGAATCTGATTATTTAATTTTGTTTCATTATCTCTTTATACTTAAAACAATATCGGATGTAGGTTTAAAACGACACGACGACGTCTAAAATAGTTACCCGAGTACACATGCATAATATATTATTAGTTCAGGATCCGGATATGAATAATACTTAAGCGCACCTAGTAATCTGCGTCAACCTTTGCGTCGTCGTCGTCTATCAATAGTTCTATTAAAGATTGCTTACTCCGAACCTCTGTAGTTATTGATAAGTAATAAATATTTATCAAAGATCAAGTCATGTGGTATGGTCTGAATGATAAATGTGGTTAGCATTCGCAATTACCGGTGATTATTAATAAAACACCAACATTTGGTACTGATATAATTTTTGGAAAAATATACGTTATCATTGTTTTACTGCTTATCTTTTATACTTATTGTATCGTAATGCTGAAAATATTATTTGTTTGTGTATTGATGCTTACTGTAAAAAACCGTAAGATGGTGCATAAAATGCAATGATGATTGAACATGGCATGGATAATATGATGCCACGCCTTTTTATTCTCAAAGAGCGGCAGCGGTACCTACGCAAATACCATATTTACTTATATCGCTAACGACGTTTTTTTTTTATTTTCAGGAAAAAGGTACTGAGCATGAGCGCCGGCATAGAATACCCAAATGGAATGCGGTGGGAACTGGCGGCTTGCTTGGTCTGTGCTTGGGTTCTAGTTTACTTTGCTCTGTGGAAAAGTATCAAGTCTTCCGCCAAAGTACGCTATATCACCACAACACTGCCCTTTCTGCTAATTATTGTTTTCCTCGGACGGTCGTTAACACTAGACGGAGCTGATAAAGGTCTCAGATTCTTCTTCAAGCCAGAATGGGAACTATTAAAACAATCAAGACCATGGGTTAACGCAGCTTCACAAATATTTAACTCAATCGGTGTTGCTTTTGGATCGATGATAATGTTCGCTTCTTACAATCGATTCGATAATAATTTTCTCCACGATACTGTGGCTGTTTCACTAATCAATGCTATCACTAGTCTCATCGTGGGGATCTTTACGTTTGCCACAATCGGAAACATCGCCTTTGAACAAAACACTCCCGTCAAGGATGTCATCGCGGACAGTGAGTATCTTACTTATATTGTCCACTCTATAATAAACACTAGTGCTGCACTATTATCTGCCGCATTATATATAATTGCATACATGTAATTCTTTATTCTGCTTTTATTCCAGGTCCTGGATTATTATTTGTCGTATATCCACAAGCAATTGCAAAAATGCCCGCATCACAGCTATGGGCAGTGCTGTTCTTCTTTATGTTCCTTTGTCTTGGACTAAACAGCCAGGTAAATAATATCTACATAAAAACAAAAACATTGCAAACGCTTACGAAAATGAATGACGTAAAATAAAATGTCAATTATTATATTTCAGTTTGCAATCGTTGAAGTTGTGGTGACGTCGATACAAGATGGGTTCCCAGACATGATACGCAGAAGACTCGTGTATCACGAATTGTTAGTGCTGTGCGTGTGTGGAGTGTCGCTAGTGTTTGGCCTGCCGCACATAATACACAGTGGCATTTACGTGTTCCAACTCATGGACTACTACGCCGCGTCACTGAGCATCACATATCTAGCCTTCTTTGAAGTGGTGGCGATTGCTTGGTTCTACGGCGTGGGCAGACTGTCTAGAAATATTAAACAAATGACGGGTATGTATTTTCAAAATTTAACATCATAATTAATCGTTGAAATATAAGCTTAAGCTTAACACATAAACTCGTGTCTTTTTCTCATGAAGATAGGCAGAAACCAAGGAATGCCACTTACTATGGATGTGTATTTCGTTTCTTAAAAAAACTAGATTCTCCGTTCCTACATATGATAAAAACGAATGGTAATAATGAAATAGGTACATAGTATGAATAATTATTATGGATCATGAACGTATTATTTGCAATGAACAATACCTCTCTAGATAGATACCTATATGGTGACGTCACACGGGAGGTCCTGCTATTTCCTATAACGCAATGCAACTTCCTTTTTTATTTGTATAAGATAATAATCTTTTTTGTAACTTTATAATCGGAATAACAGCGATGACTAACCATTTTTCGTTCGGTGTTAAACGTTATAGTTTCCCACAATCAAACTGTTTTACACACTTTTATCTGATGTGTCAGTCTTGCTCTTATTATGAGTAAATACGGTTTACACGGCATAAATAAAGCAACGCAACGATATATCGCGTATCAACTTCATAGTCGCAAAGCCATCTAACTACTAACCCATCATTTCATACGTAAAAGTGTTCTACATTTAGGAGTATGAAATCCAGTTGTTAAATCATCAGTGTTATCTTCTTGGCCCCTCTTACGTTAAAAGATTTGTTTTACTTAATACCTATGTTCTTCACAGTTAAATTGAAAGCTATAATGTTCTAAATATTTCAATTGCTAATTTCAGGTCGGCGTCCTTCGTTATATTTCCGAGTATGTTGGCTGGTTGCGACACCGGCGCTGCTTCTCGCGCTGTGGGTGGCCAGTCTGGTGGACTACACTCCGCCAAGCTACCGACAGTACCAGTATCCGACGTGGGCGCAGGCGCTCGGCTGGATCATTGCTTCTCTCTCACTTCTATGCATTCCAGTATACGCTGTATGTGTCGTAGCCAAATCTCCGGGAAACAATTGGAGAGAGGTACGAAAAATTTAACAATTAAATTACACAACACACTAAGATTTGCAGTCGTATTAAGATTTTTTTATAAATAGTGACACTTAAATATAATCAGCACTTTTTATAAAAATAAATTGGTAAGCTATCTACGTAATAAGCAGTAGACATAGAAACCCAAAGAGATAAAATGTGATCATGATGTCTAGAAACACAAACTAACGATTTGTTATAAGTATTCCTACATAGATTTATTTATAATGGACAGAAAAAGTAACCGATTTCTTTTATTTTTCAGAAATTACGTCACTCCATTCGTCCGACATCTCTATGTGAATGCGGTGTCACTGGATGCGACATTTGTTACTCGGACTCCGAGCAACCGGACGATAAACCTGCTATCAACTAGTCTGAAAACAACTTAGAAAATAAGAACATATACATACTTTCTACTCTACAATAGTATACTCTGATATCAAGAATAAACAAGACAGTAAGATAATGAAACGAGACGGTATTCCATCATAATTATCATTAATTTACAATCAGGCGGGGCCTGCACTCGACCTACTATAATAATAAAGTAGCACACTTGAGAGTTCATTTGGAGAGCGAAGAACAATCACAATATTTGTCAACCGAAACGATCTTCGATTTTACTTATACATATCTACTGCCAAAATGTTTGTTATCAACTACGATAGCTATGTAGTTAAATTCGCTCTTTGACCACAGACGTCTGCGTTGCTAGTTTTTCAATTAATTTGAACACGATTCAATCAATGCTTAAACTTATTATTTTGTCCTTGTAGACGTAAGCAAACCGTAGACGGTAAAACCCATCAGAACCAGTATTAAGTTTTCTATGTATCTACTTATTTAAAGTTAAACAACGTGACATTTGAGTTTGTCGTATTTATACAAATATTAGCATAAGTATTTAGTATGTTTCCTAAAACTTTTGTGATCAAAGTCATTCCATTAGAAGTCGTATTCGATATAAGTGAACATTATTTATTTCTAGAAATATCATTCTTATTCTTAGAAAGTGTAAAAAAATCGAATGAAAAACTATTTTTCCAGTTAAAATCTCACAGCATCAGAAACATGTAATAGGTACCAACAATAAGTACTATCTACCTATACGTAGGTATATATATATCAGCCTACTTTATGATAATGGCACACAGTTGCGGCATAATTACACAATATTGATAAAATAACGTCTGATAGGTACAAAATTAAGCTGTAGTTATGTGTTACGAATACGTACGTATTATATTACCTTCATAAGTATCTACGGACTTCTTTTACGTAGAGAAATAAAAACACGCACCTATCAGGTAGGCAAGCAGCTTCAAGTACATATTTCCATACGATGAAAAAATCAAAGTACAATGTAACATAATATAATTTCGTATTGTAAATAAGAAACTATTTGTAAATAAACAAGTGACCAGCTTGTAACTTTAGCTTTTAAGATTTTATTGAATAAAACTATAAAATTATGTAATCGGTGTTTATTTACTTATACCATAGAGCAAAGAGGTAAGAAGCACCTACCTTACACAAACCAAACCTGACAAATTGTCAGATCATGTAGGTACTGAGGTACCTACATGATCTTGTACCTACTATAATCTATAACTACCTAATACATCTACTTTCAGATCTGAAACTTATATGTATTACGATTTAAAAAATAATAGCATTATTTTTTGATATGGTACTGGAGTAATACTACAATTATTAAAGTCTAAGAAGGCGCAAGTCAATCGAAAAATACAAAAGATTAGAAGAAACCTTTTAAGCTTTTGCTACTGTAGGTAACTGCCACGCCTATTCAACACATTTTGAAGGGTTCCGTAGTAAATAGGAACCTTTATAGTTTCGTCATATCTGTCTGTCCGTTTGCGGACAATCTCGGTTAGCACTAGAAAGTCAATTTTCAACTCAGTGATATTATATATTAACAGATATGTTATAAGCGCGCAAATCGGCTTACGCAATCCAAATTTATCAACAAAAACTTAACATTCTGTCTAGTTTGCATAAATTGGTAACCTAATTCCTCTAGAGATGGCGCTGTACATTTTGCTACTTACGCTGAATTACGGTTTTAAGACTTACAATAACTCTTAAGTTACGTACGTTAGTACGGAACCCTACACTGACCGTAGCCCGATACGCTCTTGTTCGATTTTTTGTATTAAAAACTCGCTCGGTACTCCATTGTTTTTACCATCCCTTTTTATGGCATATAATTAAATTAGCTGCGCAGTACACCATTTTGTTCCTAAAAGATCCATTGCGCAGACAAACGGCTAACTTCAGACTCGCCAAGATACGTCGGCGGTTCCGTAGTAAACGATTACTGGTCACTTGATGCTAAGCAAGCGTGGGAGAGCCAAGCTTCGGCACGAATGGGTTGGCTCAACCGTGATACCACGGCCTCACAGAATACCGGCGTGAAACAACCCACAGCGTTGTGTTTCGCCGTGTGAGTGAGGCTCAATCCCTCCCCTTCCCCTATACCTTCCCAATCCTTATATCCGCAACCCCTACCCCGATCAGGTAATCCGCCTGCTCGTTTGCCGACTTATACTATAAAAAAAGCAATCTGCGAAACACCAGAAGAGTTTAGAGTGCGCTGCTGGCAAATGAAAATTGTAGCAATATCCATGTATTTTAAAAAATATGACCTCGGCTGTATTGTATAAAAAATGTGTTCCTTCTCGGCCAGAAGTGGTGTACAAACGAAATTAGTTAACAAAATTGTGTCAATTAGTTGTACTACGGCCGAAAGGTTGAGAAGAACGGGGATATATTGTCTATGCCCAGGCTAATGAAAAGTACAATGTTCGTAAAATCGGGGAAAAAGACGAAAAAAAGGTCCAGAAGTTACAAATTATGTTAATAAACAACCAAAATGATAAGACTAATTATTCAATAAATAAAGTTTAATATACAACCATATTGGTATACATACCTTTAAATACTTCTACAAAATAAACCTTACAGGCATGGGAGCAGTACTAGGTGACAAAAAACTTTAAATGGCTATTTTAAATAGCATTGTACTAATCTACATGTGACATTATACATAATAATATTATGTCTTAAATTAAATTATACATACTAACAATGAAATGTAAAATAGACAAAAAATATTCAATATACAATCAATTTATAACTTTTAAAAGATCTATTATGTTGTACAATATTGAGCTCCATTATATCTCATTTTTAATTTAATAACAGATTAATGTTATTACTTTATTAAATAATAGCTCAACAACTTAGAATAATAGAGCTTTTAAAAGAAGGCCTCCTCAATAAAATTCTTCCTACTGGGTAAATCCAGCCTTTACACTTACATTATAAATTCTACTTTAATACTTAAGTCTAGGGACCCATAATTACTGTAAGCATAAAACAAACTGACACTGAGATTCTCTTTGCAAGAATAAATATTGTGAATGACAATTGGAATGCTTATCCAGAATCTAATAAATCTTCATAGTGTAGTACAATAAATAATTAAAATATTTCTAGAGAAAGGAAACATTGTGGGATTATCCTCTTCTTATTGCACATTTATAATAGTGCCTACATTCACAATGACAAAAAAAAATGAAAAGAAATCTTCTGCCAGTTATTTCAAATCATTTTAATTATGTTTCTTTTTCTTGGGTCCACTTTGTTCATTTAAATCCTCATTGTCGGACTCATCACCATCTTCACTGTCATAACCATCTGTGCTGTTATCACTCTCATCTTCTTCATCATCAACATCATCTGCACTATTCTCTGCTTCCAAGTTTTCCACATTACCCTCACCCACTTAAACAATAGTAATCAAAATAAGTACCCATTCATTTTATTATTAAAATTCCATTTTATGTTTTTCGTATTTTATTGATTTTAGTAAAAATATACTGTGTACTTTTTTATTATTGGATTATACATAAAAATGTAAATAATGCCTTGTGTAGGACAGTTCACCATATATATATTTAACAGGCTGAGTTAAAAGTTCATATATTATTTTATATAAGCACCAAAATTCCCCATCATTTAGGAAGACATACCTACTGATCAAGGTTTTATTCTATATTAACCTATTTGATCTACCTTGAATATGTTATTACCTATTTGATCGATTAGTTATTCTGTAAGTACTACAGAAATAGGTAGTTAAATAAATATCCAGCTGTTGATTTCCAATGCGGCGGAATTGTTAATATTGTTTAATACTTACACATGTGACCCAATTCATCGAGATCTTCTATCATCTGGGTTAGTGCGGCATTTGCTTGAACTTGAAATTCTTCCAGCGTAATAGGCAAGTTTCCATCATGAATTGGTTTAGCAATTTTTTGAACTAACTGCCCATGTTTATTGACAGTAAGTTGAATTTCTGGTAGCTTTTTAGTCATTATTTCGATTTTAAACGTTTATGATCTTCACGGTTTATATGTAGGATAACAAGAATTGTATGTTTTTATGTTATTGATCGGGCTGTCAAAGTTCGTCTTATTTGACTTTTATTGATTACCTTCACTTCTATAGTAGAGTCTATGGCCAAAGCTTAAGGCTAGAAACACACTAGATTGTTAATGTGCGATCGCGTAGAGGCGTAGAAACTTAGTTTGATACATTTAGGAAAATAAAAAGTTGCGTAATATGTTGTCGTGTGCTGTCAAACGTATCTAACTGGAGTATTCTACAATGCCATAATAATATATTTTAGGCTTGATTAATGCATAAAACATAGGGGTTAACAAAAAAACCACGTCTATGGTAATATTGAGAATTGATCTGTGGTTCATGTCATAATTGTATGTATGTAAATCTAATGTCATGTCATTATCAGCTGATTGATAACTTTTTTTAAACACCGTACATTACTATCAACTTTTTCGATCACTATGTAAAAGCTGTGATAATATGCGGGAATTTGGTAAATTTGGTCCACTCATTGGCGCTGTAGACGAAGGAACTTCAAATGTTAAGTTCCTGGTAAAATTACTCAGATAATAGTACTTGTTCCTTTAAGCGGTTTCGCACCGAACATTAATATCAAAATTTATTACAGGTATTTGCAGCAAACACCTCAGAAGTATTAACTTATCATCAAATTACCTTGAAACGGTTTAGCCCTCAAGAGGGTTGGGTTGAACAGGATGCACTAGAAATTTTAAATGCTGTATTAGAATGCATTGAAGTAAGTCATACATACATCAGCCAATACCATACAATGCCATACATAAAATATATTGTTTAGGTAACTTCTGATAATCTCAGTGTTTAAAATTACCTGAAATAATTTATTCAACTGGATCTTTATGTTATATCAAGCAATTTATTATGTTTTAAAATACCAATTTATTTACCATACAAACATTCTCAGATTTTTTATTGTAATACGAATTTCAGGTTACTACTGACAATCTGAGAAAGTTAGATATCAACCCTGAGGATGTTGTAGGTATTGGTATTACAAATCAACGAGAAACCACAATAGTATGGAACTCAATTACTGGACAGCCTTTATATAGTGCGATAGGTAGGTAAAAATACATTAACTATTTTAAATCTATAGCTATTTTTTTCTGATTATTTTAAACCAACTTTTATGTATTTTCATAATTTCAGTATGGTTGGATGTAAGGACAGCCAACATTGTAGATGAATTAACAAAGGTAAAAGGTCCACAATGTGTAAATGCTGTGACACAGACCAGTGGGCTTCCATTATCTACATACTTTTCGTCTGTAAAACTAAAATGGCTACTACAAAATGTGCCTGCAGTTAAAGATGCTGTCAGAGCTGGAGAATGTATGGCAGGCACTGTGGATTCCTGGCTGATTTGGGTATTTCAATTATTTCACCAATAGTATTAGTATGGCATGTCCAATAGTTAACACCCCTTGACTTATATTTTCTAACAATAAGTTTGATATCACCAGTCTGCTCTGAGCAAGTGTGATTAATTAAACCTTATCCATGTGAGATTTTTTTTATTCACATCACCCTTACAACCTATTTTCTAAATAAAACGTTTTCATCTTGAATTTCAGAACCTCACTGGTGGTTGTCAAGGTGGAACTCACGTAACAGATGTCACGAATGCCTCTCGTACACAGCTTATGTCACTACGTAGCCTGCAGTGGGATAAAGGGCTGTTGCGATTTTTTGACATACCAATACAGATTCTACCAAAGATTAAAAGTTCAGCTGAAATATATGGTTACATTTCATCAGGATCCTTACTTGGCGTACCAATTGCTGGGGTCAGTTTCTATTATTTTTACCCGAGTAACTACGGTGAAGCCTACAGGAGGTTAATGTTTTTCCTGTGTTTGTATAAACAATTTTTTATGTTTATTTTATATTATTTGTTACAAAGATAAATATGTTGTTATGTCCAAACAATTAAGTTTGTTTACCTGCTATACTTCTAATCAATTCAGTTTCATATTTTATTTTTCTTAAAATACTCTATGCGCACATTATGCACTTATGTAAGCCTGGGCAATTCGTAATTGCAACCTCATACTTAATAAATTCAAAGGTAACATTTTGTGGCTTCAAGGTGGCATATAAATAGTATTATATGATACAAACTATAAGCTTACACAATATGTAAATCCTTTTGTACCTGTTTATCTGTGATAAGTAGGTAATATGCATCTCTATTTGTTCTTGATATTGTAATTTGACATTTTAAAGAAATACATGCTCCACAGTGTTTAGGTGATCAACAAGCAGCTTTAGTTGGACAAGGATGCATGAGATTTGGTCAGGTCAAATGTACTTTTGGAACTGGATGCTTTTTATTATACAATACAGGTATGTAAGTATTTTCTCCCTCAATATTTGACCTAAATATTTAATATAAACCAACAGTGGTACCTAATTAAAATATAATTAATTTCTAGGTGATTCAATCATACACTCACAACAAGGACTTTTAACTACAGTGGCATACAAATTAGGACCAGACGCACCACCAGTTTATGCATTAGAAGGATCTGTTGCCATTGCAGGCAAGTTATTTATTTCATTAATTAGACTAGATCGAAATTCGTATTCAAATAATTTCATGTAATCTGTTGATATTTTATCTAGGTGACACATTACAGTGGCTACGAGATGGACTAGAGCTTATAACAGATATTCAGGATACAGAGGCATTAGCATCTGAGGTAAATGATGATGACGAAGGAAGCATTTGTTTTGTACCTGCATTTAATGGTTTATACTCCCCTTATTGGAGAAAAGATGCCAGAGGGTAGGTATATACTGTTGTACTGATACCTTAAAATGCAAAGGATAAAAATAATGGATTTACTAAATCATTATTTATAAGTAAATATACTATAGAGTACTCTTTTATATTTACAGAATAATGTGTGGAATTAGTGAGAAGACGCGGCGAGAACATATTGTTAGAGCAGCTTTAGAATCAGTGTGCCATCAAACACGAAGTGTGGCTACAGCCATGACGACTGACTGTGCTCCATTAGGACGGCTTCTTGCCGATGGTGGTATGGCGCAGAATACACTTCTTATGCAAATGCAAGCAGATATTCTTGGAATCCCTGTGGTATGGCTATAGAGAATGAGTTTTTAGTTTCTGTTTCCTATAAAATAACAATATCAATATTAACAATTAATTTTACTACTTCCTTTTCAGATTCGACCTCTTATGATGGAAAGCACAGCTCTCGGGGCTGCAATTGTAGCTGGTCGAGCATTACGAGTGTGGCCAACTTCTACGCCATGTCCACCAGCCGATACATTTATACCAACTATTACTTCTGAAGGTAAACAAACTGTTAATTTCAACTCAAGTCCAAACCCTAAAAACACCCAGTAAGTTCCATAACATTCAACCTTTCATACTGTTACTTCTTTCTCTTAAACTTTATTCTCAATTCCAGAGCGCGACATTAGACGAGTCCGGTGGGAAAAAGCTCTCAAAAGATGCTTGGCATGGACTTCAGATGGCAATGAAGAGAAAAACGAGTTGTGTCCTGGTAAATATTACATTTACACACACATTTAAAAATGCGTGAGGTGTGAACCATTCTGTTTAGTCGATTATCTCACTTCTCATTCAAACAATACCTGTATTGTTTATTTCAGATGAGACAGATCGCACAACTGCTGCTATACCTCCTGGTTTATTTTTCCTTGGAACGGCTCTTTTAGTAATTATAGCAGATAAATTAAAAAATATCTAATCTATGGGTCTAACCTATGCCATTGTCAAGTCATTAGTAGAACAACTCTATGTACCTCCAAAGTTAGTTTAAAGTATTAATTTATTTTTAGCTGAATTGTTATTTGTTGTGTAATAATATATACAGTTACAAATTATATATAATTTATTTATTAAAATTCACAAACTTACATAGTTGACAAAGTAACTTAACAGTACCTGCTACCTACTCAACTATTCATCATTTTTATAGAATCCTGATTTTGATTGTTCAGTGTGTAAGTAACAAAATCAAGTTCTAAAATGATCAATAGTATAAAATGTCTGGACGATAGAGATATTGCTGTATCCCTTAAAATAAATAACATTATACATGAGATGCATTAAGAATAGTATTTATAAAATGTTAGTCCAGCAGAGTGATATCATGAAACCATAAATCAATTGTTTACTTCAGCCTTTTATAACAGCGATTGGCCGCAACTTGACAGTCTTCTTGCTTATTCCCGCCGCATGACACGTATCTACGACATCTGTAACATTTTTATATGACTCAGGTGCCTCTTCCATCACTAACTTTGGTGAAGCAACTCTAATAGAGATTCCCATATTTTCCAGCTTTTCAAGAACTTCTTTATAGTCTATGTTCCTTCTTGACTTCGCGCGAGATAGTGCACGGCCCTGAAAAATAAATAGTATTTTAATTACACTTGCTTTTAGGGAAAATAAAGCTATAAAAGTTTTCTTTTATGAAGTCACTTACAGCTCCATGGCATGTTGAGCCAAATGTTTCTGTCATGCCTTGATGAGTTCCAGTTAAGACATAGCTGCAAGTCCCCATTGTTCCACCAATCAGTACTGGCTGTCCAGTCAACTGGTAATCCACAGGTATTAGAGGATGATGTGGAGGAAAAGCTCTGGTTGAGCCCTAAAATCAATTTTTTTGTAAATAAAAACAATTAAGAAACAACTTTGGGTTACATGATTCTAAAAAACAAATTAATTTATTATTACCTTTCTATGTACCAATAAGGTCTTCACTTTTCCGTCTACCACATGCTCTTCAACCTTTGCAATGTTATGAGAGACATCATATATAACATGCATGTCTAAATCATCAGGTGCCATCTTAAACTGTTTGGCAAATGCCTGGCGAGTCAAAAATGTCATTGAACTTCTGTTAACCCATGCAAAGTTAGCAGCTGCTGCCATAGCCTTTAAGTAGTCTTGACCTTCTACAGAATTTATTCTTGCACATGCCAACTGCCGATCATTTGTATCAATTTCATCCCTTTTCATAGCTTTCTCCATTTGGACTAGAGCATCAGTAGCAACTTGGTGGCCGAAACCTCTGCTGCCAGAATGAATCATAACACAGACTTGACCAATTCTCTCAATGCCCATTTTTCCAGCAGCATATTTATCAAATATTTCATCTACAACTTGTATCTCCGCATAATGATTACCAGCTCCTAGAGTACCCAGCTGTGGCAAACCTCTTTTCTTGGCTCGAAGACTGACTTTTGAGGGATCAGCATTCAGCATACGGCCATATTCTTCACAATGCTCTTTATCTTCTGCCCAGACATAACCTTCCCTGAGAGACCAATCCATTCCCATTTCTAGGGCTTCTTCCAGATCCCTGGCATTCATTGGGATTATACCTTTAGATCCCACACCCACTGGTATATGATCAAACAAACTCTGGGCAAGTTGTTCCTGTTAATAAACATTTACATGTAAATAACATTGTAACTTATATAAATTTGAATTTTTCAAAAAAAAAAACAAAAAATTATATGAAAATAAAATAAGAGTAGTTAAGAACCAATCAGTGATAATCACCTTTATTGGTTGGACATCTTTCTCATGTAGATTAGTTCTCAAAAGGCGAACACCACAGTTTATATCAAAACCCACTCCTCCAGGTGACACTATTGATTTAGGGTTACCCATGTCAAAAGCTGCCATATTTCCTGCAAGCAAAATATGTCTGTCAATATTTCAGGCCACTTTTAAAAGTATTGCATCATAAATAGTAACAATGAACATATAAAAATATGTTATTTGACAAATGTTACAAGAATTTAGATGAAAATAATCAGTAAAACTGTTTAATTTCCTCTTCCATTCAGGTGTTCTAACTAGAACAACTAGACAATATCATCAGAAATTGATGCCTAATATATTGTCACAAGTATTATGAAATACAAATGACTAATGCAATGTGTTTATATGAGATTGTTCAATCAATTAAAAGTATAATTTAATAATGATTGATGATTATGTTATTATTATTAAGTAGCTAAAAACCTAAACAAATTCTACAACAGCTACCAAAAATACTATTTAATTAGATACAACTAAAATCATATTTTTTTACTATATATATTATAGCAAGCAAGAATAAAATGTTTAGCTTTAAATTGTTAAAATAATTTGTAAATATATGTTTAATAATTTACCGATAGCGAATCCATATCCTGAATGTACATCTGGCAAACCAATTGACCGGCCCACGATACCCGGCAATGCCGCAACATTAGCAATTTGTTTTACTCCTGGGAGAAACCCTCCTGTCATCCCAGGTCTACACGAGTTCCTTAGTTCTTCTAACATTAATTTTTCAAGTGTAGAGTTTACATAAAAGACGCCTTCCACATTCATATTTGGCTGGAAACCCATTTTGATTTTCCAGCAATAGGGATTTATCTTTTCAAGATACTTCAATTCCTCGTTGTACTGACGAACGACCATTTTTGGACTTTCGTTAATCAAATGCACAGCAAAGGTCTAACAAAAGGATAATATTATATGAGTAGTATTTTCACAGATTTGAGCTGATGCAAAGGCTTGTTATTCGACATGCGTTAATAAAATAAAACTAATCAATTTATAGTGACGTTTTGACTCTTCTGACAAGATAAAATGACATCAGTGTTGAACTGACAATCATTTGACGTTACCTAGTGATGTGATAGTCACCATACATTACCACCCAAATCCTATAGAATAAATTTTATTTCTCCATGACTCAGATAAGTGTTATTTTGACATTCAAGAAAAAAAGTGTATTGTAGTGTAGATTTTTGGGTACGTAGTAAATGATAAAGCAACAACTATAACAACATACATGTCGTATGGCTCGGGTGGGGTGGAAAGAAACAATAATATGAAACTTTCGCTTCTTTTATGTTTTTTTGATTGACAGAGCTTTTTTGACTCTTTTTCAAAATATTGCTTATTTGATCGATATATTTCCGACTAGGATGCGCTCTTAAGTAACGGCCATTCTCCTCACCTCACTATGCTCGCTCGCTAAACTTATTTGCTAATTTTCTTGCATCCACCCTTTTAATATGACCAAAGCATCGTAATCGTCCTTTTTCAATTTTTGTCACCAGATCTTCATCAACATCATTAAAAATTTTGGTTATTAATTTCAGTGATTAATCGTTTCTATTTATTATAGAACACCACATTGATGTTCTATCCTAAATCAAATAAACCACCACACCGGAATTGAACAGAATTTGTAATACTTACTAATTTCATCATCATCCGCCTGATTTCGTCCACAGCAGGAGTCAGCAGGACATAGGTCTCCCCAATTGCAAGCCACTGACCTCGATTTTTAGCTCTTCTCATCCAACCACTGCCAGCCACTCTACGATAAATGCGATATTGTACGGTTACTATTTACTAATTTATTGACAGTTAAAGTCAATCAACACTCTGTCACTGTCATCTGTCACATTCTCCATTTTCGGATGGTCTTTAGGTTTCATAATCAGGTTGTCTTGTGAAAAATAGTTCACTGGTTTTGAATCTTTATAATTTCTACTACAATGGCTGCATTAATCAAGCTACGTCAAATGCCTTTAGTTCAAAGATGTGTATGGAACCATCTAAGTCTAACAAGCCGTGGAATTTCTACTTCAAAAAAGAACAGCGATAGCGCTGCTACTGCCACTGAAACCCCCAAACCAGAAGACAAAAACTGGGTGAGCTATGGATTTGACTACAATAGTAAAGAAGAGGACACAAATGCGCACAACGCTTCCTTCTTTTTCTCCGTTACATTGTGTTTGGTTTTCGGTGGATTTGCTTGGGCCTACGCTCCTGATACACACCTGAGGGATTGGGCTCAGCGAGAAGCATTTTTAGAATTACGTCGTCGTGAAAAAGCTGGGCTACGTCCAATCGACCCTAACTTTATTGACCCAAAGCAGATAAAACTTCCCAAGGAATCTGATATCTGTGATGTTGAAATCATTATTTAATTTGTTTTTAAAAGGTTACTTCTTGTAATCATTTTATTGTAGATATTTTCACTGTAATGAATAGTAAACTATAAACATGTACTTTCTTTTATTTTATTTAAAAGATTCCTCACAGTTTCATATTGTTTGGGTTCGAGTGTATGACCATCTACAAGATCAGTGAGTCTACCATACTGTGATTGTAAATATAAGAATTAGCAAAAATACATGAGTTGTTTTCCATACCCATGCGCTTTTATTTTTATTCTAAATCACACTTTATTTCAGCCTGCTCTATATATCAGAACTTAAAAAATTGGTTGAATACAATAGATGTTTTTGTGATGTTACATTATGTCTCAAATTATGTCAGAAATTCTGGGGTTACTTACAAATTTTGTATTTGAAAGCCAGTATTAACTCACTCGACTCCTAATGCAGTGAAAGATATTGAGGCAAAAGTATTAGTTTCACTAACAAAAATATCAATGTCTTCTACTTTTCCTGAACCAGGGATGGAACCTTAGATTAGAGGCTATTGACAGTTCCGCTTCCAGTTACTCAACCAAATACAATAGACACAAACCCTTTTTTCAGTTCTCTTTATTAAATCATAATGGTAGTACATTCCTGTGGTCAAACATCATATTTTACACTCTTAAATAGTGGCTACATATTATTATGACAAAAAATCTCTTTGCATTCACACACACACAGCAGTGCTGTAGAGTATCATAAAGCAGCTGGTAAACTACCTAACTAGTATCTTGCGCCAGCCTAGCTGTGTCCGTTACCCAGGCCAGATGTTGTCGACAATGGTCATTTGAATCTTATAGATAATTAGTTGTGCGGCTTCTGTAATTGTTGCGCACATTTTTAAATTTGTTGCGCTTATAGTTTTTTAATTATTTCACAAAAACATTTCCTGCTGGCGTAACGTTACCACAGCCAGACCTTTTTATTTCTAATGGGAATATTTAAAAAAATATTAGCTATAAAATTAGTTGTCTAGATAAAGTAAATGTTGTGCCTTATTTTGTATTTGTTCTTTCTTCGGTTGCGAAGTTATTGGAGATTTTGCTGCGGTAACGTTTTTGGTTTTGCTAGATCTTTGAAATGGTTAAGCGGATTCTTATCATATTTTGTACACGACTTCCGAGGACTTAGTACAAATTTGTTGTGCAATAACAAAACCAAAATAATGCATATTTTAAAGGTTTTTTCATTAAATAGAAAAACACTTCAATTGGCCCCAGCACTCTCAATAAGAAGTCTAAAGACTTACTTTAAACGTAATTTTAAAGCTTGTAACTGCCTTCAAATGTATGTGAAATTTCATTAGTATCCCGTAAGTATTTAACAAGTTATGATGATATTCAGTTCTTCACGAGCACGGTCTTAATGCACGCGGTGTTATTTGGCCACTGGATTGGATATATGAACTGAATGTTATGTCAATAATTAGTTGTTTAGATCAGTTGTATATCAGTAAAATTTCAGCTCAATACATTGGATAATTAATGAGATAATACTATGAAAGTCATTAGGAAGTGAATGACCGTGGTAAGCCGACCAAGTTTAGGTGGTTACGAAAAAGCGAAAACGCAGAACATTATGGTACCTTCTAAAATATGTAGGATAGTGTTATAAATTTAGTACAGACATGTACAAAAGTTTAAAAAAAAACTACATGATTATTCAAGATTTTTTATTGAAAGGTAAAATAATCATTTCAATAATGAACTTTTACTCCCTTACTTATAAAAACTTGTGTTGCTTAGCAACCGATTAAACATCACCCGTCCTTGTCATTTCTATTTCAAAATGCAGTTCAAAAATCATCTAAAAGGTTACAAAAGTAACCTTCTGGCAAGACTGAGTGCGTTATGCAAACAATGTATTACCCCTTCACCCCACTCCTCCTGCGTCCTACCGAACGGCATGCTCTAGCGGTGATTTTTGATAATTTTGTGGAACTGGAAGATAATGTTTTCTTTTATATTATTATTATTATTATTATATAGGTATTAAACAGTGTACGCGTCTGTACCAAAATTGTAAGGTGTATTATACTAAACATTTCAAAAGATAGTTCAATGCTCTGCGTTTTCGCTTTTTCGTAACCACCTAAACTTGGTCGGCTTACCACGGTCATTCACTTCCTAATGACTTTCATAGTATTATCTCATTAATTATCCAATGTATTGAGCTGAAATTTTACCGATATACAACTGATCTAAACAACTAATTATTGACATAACATTCAGTTCATATATCCAATCCAGTGGCCAAATAACACCGCGTGCATTAAGACCGTGCTCGTGAAGAACTGAATATCATCATAACTTGTTAAATACTTACGGGATACTAATGAAACTTCACATACATTTGAAGGCAGTTACAAGCTTTAAAATTACGTTTAAAGTAAGTCTTTAGACTTCTTATTGAGAGTGCTGGGGCCAATTGAAGTGTTTTTCTATTTAATGAAAAAACCTTTAAAATATGCATTATTTTGGTTTTGTTATTGCACAACAAATTTAAACTAAGTCCTCGGAAGTCGTGTACAAAATATGAGAAGAATCCGCTTAACCATTTCAAAGATCTAGCAAAACCAAAAACGTTACCGCAGCAAAATCTCCAATAACTTCGCAACCGAAGAAAGAACAAATACAAAATAAGGCACAACATTTACTTTATCTAGACAACTAATTTTATAGCTAATATTTTTTTAAATATTCCCATTAGAAATAAAAAGGTCTGGCTGTGGTAACGTTACGCCAGCAGGAAATGTTTTTGTGAAATAATTAAAAAACTATAAGCGCAACAAATTTAAAAATGTGCGCAACAATTACAGAAGCCGCACAACTAATTATCTATAAGATTCAAATGACCATTGTCGACAACATCTGGCCTGGGTAACGGACACAGCCTAGCTCACACGCCCTGTAGTACAGGTTATGACCCTGTATTTAACTGTAGCATAATAAACATCTGGTTTTATCGCCTATGCAGCGCGCAGGTGAACTAATTTGCCTCCAGACACAGCTACATAGGCGGAGCCACCAGCAGCGACGAGCGAATTGATACAACCACCAAGGTTAATGTCTCCAGCTGCTTCCAGTTTGTCACCGGCCATCTTATATCGGCGCACGACGCCATCCCAACCACCAGTCCATGCGTACTGACCGCTTGTAGACAAACTTGTTAAGATCATGTCGCTAACCTGGCAGAAAAAAAAGAATTTCAGCTTTTTTAACATAACTTAGTGGATCATACGTACCTACCGAAAATGAGACTTACCTTGACTTCATCGAGTGATTTGAAACTGGTATCAACGGAAGCATCGTGTAACCGCAAGCTATTGCCATCTCTGGACATGAACAGGAGTCGGTTTCCAGATATCCGTAAGGGAGCTCGTCCTTCCATAGTGTGTCGTGTCATAAAACGTGTTTTTGATTCTTCTGAAATAATATTAATAAAACACAATTAGTAGGTAGGTAGTTAAATCAAACCTGTACTACAGGCATTACGGGCTCCGTACTCGGCCCTTAACATTGGTTATTTGATATATTTTAAAACAACATTGTAGATTGATATGAAAGTATGCTTTTATGCAGTCGAGCAAGTTTCAGTGCATACCGACTGTCTTTATCCCTGGATGCCAATTGCCAATGGATTAAAATGCTCTCGATGATCTTTAATTTTTAAATTACTCGTAAGACATTTCAAATTTTATTCGAGTAGGTACATTATCGCGTTTATTGATATGTATCTAAGTATAGAGGGGTATCAAATAAGTACCACAAAATAAACGCCTATCGGTTTGGATAGCTAGTTTAGACACTTATCGGTTCAATAACATTTGCTATTAGATTCAAAAAGGAGTCTACAATATTCTCGATAAGTGTATCCAGAGCTTTTGAATATTTCACTGATATAAAAAATAAATCGACATTACTAAGTACAGTCTTGGAGGAAGAGCACTGTGGATGCCCTCTGACCCATCTAAGTAGAGGATATAGGACTCGAAGTCAATTGTTAAAGTAAGTATGATATAATGTATCTATTATAAGGAATTTACCAGGTTTTATCTCAGTAACGGTGACGTAGAGATCCCGAACTGTAAACAGGAATGGAGGGGTGAAGCAAAGATCTTTCACTTCTTCCAAAACATTGTATTTCGCCTTCATTTCATTCTTTTCGTAAATAATTATCTAAAATAATAACAAACAAAAGATATGTTAGATAGGTATCTACTGCTTAGGTACTTATTTTTATATAGGTAAGATAGGTAGTTAAATGTGATGTCTAGATACCTATTTACGTACCTAAGTACTTACTAAGTAAGTTCGCAACAAAACATGATTATTTTAAAAGTCTATAAGTAAATTTAATTCAAGTGAGTGAATGCCAATAAATAATGTGTCTTAAGTATAATAAACTAAGGTATTTATATTTAAAAATATCTATAAATGTGGTCGTTATAGGGCTATGCCAAATTATGACTTACTTCTTTCATATGAAACTACGGACATTTTTCTCTTAGATCTGATAAGGCAGAGACAATTATAATATTAAGTATATGTCATTTACTTAATTATAATATCTGCCCACTTACGTTTCCGTCCTCATCGCCGGCATAAAGTTGTCTGTCGAACACATGCAAGGCTCCCACATCTGCCCCAGAAGAGGGCAGCTCAGTGATTTGGTCACCCTTCATGGACCAGACTCTGATTCCTCCGTCATTTGATGACGAATACAAGGTGTCACCGTCAGTCGCCAATGCAAATGGCTGCACTGCATGCGCTGTCCATGACTCTTTTGGTGTTAAATTAGCTTCAAAGGTCTAAAAAAGAAAAATAGATATACATATAAATAGGTACTATCTATGTACCTACATCCTACTATAAGTAGTATTGTACCTCAAAGTTTGTAACTATATGGTAAAAGTAAGTCGTTATTTTATCAACTAACTTATGGATATAATATACTTACCCCACTTAGCATACCCGCTACCTAAGTACCCGCTATTATTAATACTATAGGTACTTTATTAAAACAACAAAGATAAATCGATTAAAAAAGTTTGTGTTTTAATAAGGTACCGACTCCCTTAAGTTAAAACAATAGAGAAGCGCACAGGGTCGACAGGAGAGGTATATATAGCCTTTCAGAATACCGGTTTGGAAGAAGCTTGCATTGTGATTTACCGTGTGAATGACGTTACCAAAAGCCTAATCCTTTTCAATCCCCAATACCCATACCTATCACTGATTTTCAATCTCTAACAACCTACAAAAACTGGCAATATACCTACTTTGGTGTTTCGGATGTACATGGGTGGCGCCGATTATTTAGGTACTAACAGGATATCCGTCAGCTCTTATGGTTATAAATAAAATAAACTCTGTGTGTTTCATTCGTTAATTTTTTGATATATAAGTAATTATTATTTCGTTTAACTTTTCTAGCTATTTTTATTACAAAAATAAATATGCTACTTTACGCAAAAAAATAACGTCACAACACACTATAGGTACCTACCGGATAAGATTCATAAAAAGACTGTTGATTTAGACCAAAATATTTGACTAGTGGTCAAGCAACAAATGTTAGTTAGCTTTTTAATAAACCTTTTTGGCATGTAGAAGTTATCCATTTACTTACTTTAATCGACCCATCTTCAGAGCCAACAAACAATTTGTTGCCGAAGGTCAACACACACGGCTCTGAATCAAGTTTCGTTTCAGCTTCTATTTTCAAAGACATTGTCTTCAAAAGCTCTAATAGTTACCTAGATATGTAAACTATAAAATAACTAACTGAGGAGTGATAATAAATGCGTCCAGTCTGTTTTCAATATCTGTGAATACTGCTCCAAGTGCCGACAACTCCAAAGCTATTTGTGACCAAAATAAACGGTAGCGGCGTTGGCGTCCAATGATCTTTGCGAAGTTTCCGTACAGAAATAACGATTCTAGACGGATCTAGTGATGGTAGAAGCGAAGTAATATTATTATGAATAGAGAAAAATTTAATCTTGATTCAATGTTGTTTTTTAACTAATTTTACAGCGTCTGCTAAATATAACTGAACCTTGTTTTTCGAGAATGTTTATCTACCTACTTGTTTTATAATATCAAATAATCTTTAATTCGTTCCTTTATTTTGTTAGTATACCTATTCGAGTTTAAAGCTACAAAAGGCTTTCGAATATGATTCAAATTTGAAACTAAGGTACCTACCTACTAGGCACCGCGACCTCGGCCCAGAGCAGGAGAAGGAACGGGGGGGTTTTTAGGCAATAAGAGTCTGACACTCCCTTAAAAAAAAGGTACCTACCTACTACGCATGTTTTGCCATTAGTTTTAGCATTCTCGAAGGTCGATTATAATGGTAAAAGTTTGTAAGAAGGTTTGTACTTATGTATGTTCTTTATACTTTCACACAAAAAGCCCCCGTTCCTTCTATTGCCCTGGGCCGAGGCCGCGATGCCTCATTGCGTTTGCCCCGCAACCTCGACTGAACATCTGCCCTACAGGGCCCCGTCTGTGGTGGTCTATTGGCGATACTTGGCTTTTAGACTATAATTATATATATTATATATTATAAATATTATAATTCATTTGAAACAACCATCCCTCAAGTCATAAATAGCTTTAGACACTGTCGTCTTTGGAATAGTAAATAAAAGATTTGGTTATTGTGGGTACGTTTACTTCCACACGTTTCACTTCCAGTAAACGAATGGGTCAGATCAAAGACAGAATATCGTACGGTAAGTTAGTTTTTACAAGGTATACGAGGAGGCTTACCTTGATATATTTATTTGCATTTTTTTTTATGGAATAGGAGGCAAACGAGCCCTCGAATCACCTGATGGTAAGTGATCAGGGAAACCCATAGACACCTATATAGCACTACAGGAGTCACAGGTGCGTTGCCGGCCCTTTAAGAAGGAGTACGCTCGTTTCTTGAAGGTTTAAAGGTCGTGTCCGTTCGGGAATATCGCCGCCGGAAGATCATTCCAAGGTTTTGCTGTGCGCGGCACAAAGTTTCGTGTGAATCGCACAGTTGTTGACTGCCAACCATCTATGTGATGGGGATGGAGACGCTTTCGCGTAAAACGGCAGCGAAAAGATGCGGCGGGGATCAAACCGAACATACCCTTAGAAAACTCCTCGTGATAAATGCGGTAGAGAACACATAGCAAGGCTACATCCCTACGTAGTGCCAAAGATTCCATCCAACCGGTCTGAGATAACAGGGCAATCAACAATTCAGTCAGTTCATCGCTGAATGCGGTCTAGAGGGAGAAGCTGGTACTGGCGAGCCCCCACTCAAAGACACATCTTCTCAACGGGCCGAATTGCGCCTTTTTAAAGTATCTATTGAACACGCCTAGCTTCTTCGAGGCTAATTTGGCCTTACCCTCCAAGTACCACGAAGTATATTGGTCGAGGCTGTTAGGAGGGTGGAGATATAACCAACGGCAGTTTTTTATTTGATTGTAGTGATCATATATGAGTACATAGCTTGGCCAGATATGAAACCACGATACCTTTTTACCATGACGCACATTTAGGTACCCAATGTTAACGAAAATGTTTCACCCAGTAATGAGATAAGTATCTCATAAAAACAACAACAAAACAATTATTTACAAAAATACTAACAGCTCATTCATGTTGTCTGTCAAGATTAAAGTTGAATACAAAAACTTTACGCCCATTAAACTGTATTGTAATACTAGTGATGTAACAAAAGATACATATCTTGTAATACCTAACCGTTACTTAGATTTCCAACGTTTAGTAAGATTTAGTAGATGTAACATCTCATCGGACTGTGGAAAATTACGCTCATAAAGTTAATAGCTAAACATTTTTTATTGAAGTATAAATAGACAAACATTATCCGGTGGAAAGTAGGACTCCATACCAATTTCAGTTGTAATAAAACCACACGAACGAGTAAGTAATATTAATATATCATTCGTCAGTAGGTAGCCATGCCACGTAATGTTACGGGAACCACATGTGATATCATTGTTTTGTTGCGTAATAAATAGACACCGCGGTGCCAAAAGCCAGAACAATAAAAAGGACTAAGTATTACCACGTGAACCTGTTTGATATTGTTGTGCTTGCAAATTGACCCAATCAAGAGAAATATTATTCTTTTTTCTATTTGAAATAGAGTTAAATATTCATTAAAGAATTTTAGGCAGTCTGCCTGATGTATACGATATGTAGGTACTTACAGTAATCTTGGCATTGCATTATGTAGGTGTAAACAAAGATAAAAAAGCCTTTGTATGATGCGAGAATGACATACATTTGATACTCTATATAATTTGAAGACAATCCTAGTTCACGGAAGCGTCCATTGACCACATTCGTACCGCCCGAGAAAGTGAAAATGTTAAATTGCTGACATATAATAGAGCCGTGAGACGTTTCTTCCATTGTGTGTATTAAAGAGACGTAGTGATTGTTCGTATTACATCATAATCTACCTACATACCTTAATGTGAATAAATCCTGTGCAAAATATGCACTACTTAATCAAGGAATAATGGCTATACAGGGTGTAAAAAGACACTTAACGAAGCCGAAAGCCACGTATTCTACCCATTATTTGGATCATTTTTTTCTTCAAGACCATAGCTGGGACTCCACTGGTTCTCGAGATATTAAAGGTCAAAGATGCATTTTTAATTTTTCTTTTTTTGCGCAATCGGTTTCTAAGTATTATTACAAAACTTTTTTCCAAACAAACATTACCTGAATTTTCGATTTTTCTAAATAAATTACGCATTTGAAGTTACGAACAGTAATGTACGTAATAAATAAATGCAGACCCGCACAAAAAACATCGTGCATCTCAGTAGGATTTTTATTTTACAGAATTGTTTTGTTGTTGCGAAGTAAAACTTCGACCTACGTACTTATCACAGCGTTTTAATGCTAAGCTGTGAACCTACGCACACAATGACACGAATCCCGTTTGCTTTACATTGCGCGCAATAATTTTTTTTTTGATACCTAAAAATAAAAGTCGTTTCCCAGTGATAATTTTTGCGTAAAGCTATTTAGTTAGAACTGCAGTATGCGTAGTTAACGGCTTCGTTAAGTGTTTATTACACCCTGTATATGTAGATGGCATAATGTATAAATGTTAAAATAAGAAAAAAAAACTCTGATAAGTCCAACGCTTAATAATGTTTTTTTCAGTGAAAATATTATTCTCTAATCTTTCTGTACCGTTTCGATAAATATTTTCTTTTGTACATAAAATTATTTAATAAATATTTTTTTTATAACCTAAAACTATTTAGCAGATCCAGTGGCCAACGAAACATGATCTATCCAGTTTAATTTCAATTCTCATTTCTTTCGTTGAAACCTTATACTCAACTAGCTTTTGCCAGCAGCTTCGCCCGCGTGCTGTGTTGATAAAAAGCAGCCTATAGCAATAGAACAAAATCGAAGTATACATAAAATTTGTTATTAATCATCTCATTTTTATGGGTACATTTCCAATGGGTAGGTAAATACCCTTTACTAAGTCTCCGCTATCCGTCCGTCCAAAGATAGAATGGTACCTAACTAATAGGTAAGTATTACAAATATTTCATAAAACCTCATATATTATATTATATTTTGTACCACGTCGCGTCGAGCGCGGCAACCGTTATACAAAAATAATCCTTATAGCGTGAGTTACACATGCTATTGTAAGTTAACCATAAAAGATAGACATATGCTGTAGAACGTTTTTTTTAAATTATGTTATGTAAAATATTTCCGTCATACATTATTTCTATGTAACTTTAACCATTAAGGCTACACACGCGACGGAAACTTAAAAAAGGGAGTAACTTCTCCCGTTTTTCCAACATTTCACTTCACTGCTCTGCCCATATTATTTGTAGCGTGATGAAAAGTATCATATAACCTGCCCAGGAGTATAAAGAATAATTGTACCAAGTTTTGTTAAAATCCGTCAAGTAGTTTTTATTTCTATAACGAACATACAGACAGACAGACAGACAGACAGACAAAAATTTTACTGATTGCATTTTTGGCATCAGTATCGATCACTTATCAACCCCTGGTAGTTATTTTGAAAATATATTTAATGTACAGAATTGACCTCTCTACAGATTTATTACAAGTATATGTCGGAGCGACGATTATTTAAATTGAATTTTGAAGGAGGTTTTATCACAATTCATCGGACGAGGGTACCATAAATCGTACTCTGGCGGAACGTCAAACTGGCAGTTCTGCGTGCGCATTATGTGGAGAGCGAGCGCTGTGACTGTCATTGGAGACGGATCGCCGACGTCCGTTATATTTGTAATTTATTCGGCCTGATTATAAAATCCTACGCCCTACAATGGACTGTGAAGACGACGATCGGCATGTTGATGTTTGTACCAACCCCCCGGTGCCTTCATCAGAAGTGGGATTTGATGGGAAACCATCTGATATTCCGAAAGAACGACCTAGTAGTAACTGACGCGGATAAAGAAGATTGGTGCCGCGTGACCGGTCATAAGCAGACAGAGTGCAGACTACGGCAAGACATCTTCAACAAATCGCTGCGCCAGGAAGTTTCGACTCAACCGCAGCAACACTAAAAAGGGGCATGCAGTCATCTGTTTTTCATGGCACGTTTCTACTGCTTGTTTGGAGAAGAAGATCAGCTGTCATTTTAAGCGGCCATAGAGCTTCTTAAGGCGTGATGAAGACATCTACGGGTGAGGAAGTTCCTTTTCTTTGTTATAACGGGTTATCATGCTCCTTATCTGCGTGTTCATATGATTGAACCAACGACTGTAGTTATAACGAGCAAAAAAAGTTAACAAATTAGATATTGTCAGTTGATGGTTGTACCTAGTTTCATCTGGGTGACGTGTCTGTGAATATAGTTGTGAGTTGGCGTAGCTGATCGTTGGGAAGGATAGTGACGTCCGGTCTATGTCACGAGGTGTCTAGTCGGAGGGACGCACTAGTCTGACCCAGGCAGGTAATCTGGTGAGCTGGTCGAAGGGATGATGTGGTCTTTGCGGAGCATGTTGGCTGGTGGTAGAGGCGCATACATCCGGTCCATGCACACCAATCACTAAGGCCGTATCAATGTAGTTTGGGAAAAGTTGTTTTGGAAGTAGGTACAACTGAAAATGATGATAATGTTACATCGATGTTGAGTACAGTAACCAGACGATGTTGAGATAGCGCATGTTAGTCAGGATGAACGAGCAGCGCGCTATACACGTGAAATCTTCCTTCTGTTCCAGAACTACCGCATAACCTAGATCGCTCGAGGACGAGCGAATGTCAGTCTGGCCGTGTCGGAGCGACGATTATTTAAATTGAATTTTGAAGGAGGTTTTATCACAATTCATCGGACGAGGGTACCATAAATCGTACTCTGGCGGAACGTCAAACTGGCAGTTCTGCGTGCGCATTATGTGGAGAGCGAGCGCTGTGACTGTCATTGGAGACGGATCGCCGACGTCCGTTATATTTGTAATTTATTCGGCCTGATTATAAAATCCTACGCCCTACAATGGACTGTGAAGACGACGATCGGCATGTTGATGTTTGTACCAACCCCCGGTGCCTTCATATAGATTATTAAAAAAAAATATAAACAGTAAACAAATAACTCATGTGTGAGTACGTGTGTAAATAATAGTACTTAGGTTGACAATTCAGCAGTTGACAGTGTTGAACAACAGAATATGTCTCAAGTTCAGACAATGACAGGAAGTAGTGAAAACTTATCTTTGTAGTACATCTTCATTTCTAAAGTTCCCACGGTATGGTGGTAAATGGAAGCCCTTTTCAGATTTATTTTAATAACAAAAATAACATACCATTATGCATTTGATTGCTGAAAAAGTGGAATCAGATGTAAAAGTACGTTTAGCATCATTTTAGTAACAAAAACGCAAGCATGAACCAGCGTTGCTCTTGGACGTATACTCTACAACTGTATATTGTTGTTCATACAAAAAAAAATCACATACGACACGTCCCGGATTCTGTGTTATTGCCGAAAATACAGAAAACATATGTACTATATTTTGTACCTATAAGAGTTTTTTTCATCTAGGAATTACCTGATACTGACACATGCGGACAGCAGGGGTCATTCGGGTACGTCTTATCTGAAATTTTGCTAGAAACATATGTATGTACACATATATATATACCTATTTATAAGAGGTTAAAGGTATGTAGAATAACATTTATTTAGGAACACTCGTATATCAGCACAAAGGCTGTTGAATTTTTTATTATTACCTACTAATATAGGCTTTGCTTCTTTGAAATCACATCGGACAAAATATAACTTAGTGTAATTGAACAACATACAAAGTATATTGTAGATGGAAAACCATACGCGGGTAGTTCTTATGTGTCCGCATTTGACTAACACAGACCGCGTACCATGACTATCAGATCTAGCAAATTCTTTTTATTTCAATTAATTTACTTACTGATACAGATCAGCCATTGTTACCTAAAATGACCTAATGACTTAATATAAACGATGTGCAACGTGTTTGCTCATTATGTTATTTCAAAATAGTTATTACGCGACGTTACGTTATTAAGTAACCACAGTACTTGCACAGAATATTACTATTTTCAATATAATTCACATGTTTTCGCTTTTAGCACATCACTAATCAGGGTCCCTCATGGACACTAGTTAACACCTTTCGCAACGCAGTCCTCAGATATTTTCATGTCAAGAGTAAGTACCTACCTAATAATCACTTCTGAAAACATCTGAAAATCATACATTTTCTTTTTAAGAAACTCACTGCTCACATCGTTATGTAGATATATTTATTCATTAAAAACGTAAATACAGCTGATAACCAGTAAAAAATAAAACTTAACTGATATAATATCTTATTTATTATTCTCCTAAGGTTTTAATCCTTATATATATCCAAAATAACTCTGTGTATAAAAATAACATTCTCGGTATATAAGTTATGTAATTTAAATGATAAGTGCGTAATCCTTGAAAGTATCTATTTAATAGATTATTGGTCAGTAGGTCATCTTCTGATTTCGTAATACTTTTTGCGGTTGACTAGCGTGTAGATTTTCATGTCTGTAAAATGCAAGGTCGCAGGTTTACCTGGAGTTGGAAAATTGATTCCATGTGAGTTTAAATATTAGTCTATAGTCGTAGACAAATATGAGATTAGATATAGGGTTATTTTTCTATTCTAAGGTATAAATTGTTTTCATTTTTGACCAGTTAATTAATTTTGTTTCGGAAAATCATTTATATTGAATACCTAGCTTAAGCTGCTTTAGAACCTACACAGATTAAATGAAATCCTGAATCTGTGTAGGTTCTAAAGCAGCTAAACCTGAAATAGTGTATTAAAATCTTTTAGATTTTCCGTTGATAAATCAAACATTCGGATTTACTAACCAAAAAGATTATCTTAAAGATCTTAGTATACTTACATTTTTAAAAGTACCAGGTAGGTTGATTGTTAAAATAAAACAAGTAATAAATTATTATAAAACATTTTTATTATAAAAAATAATATATTTACAAACATTCACATCAATTTGATGTAATTAATACAAGTTGCAGTACAGTTCGGCGTAACGCCAGCATGCTGGCAACAGTGCTCGGCCGACTTCCCTAGTCTACATATTATTCTTATTCAATTCCCACACGCATTTAAAACTGATACATAGCAAAGGCATTGATGAAAATGGTAATTAATCTAATTTATCTATAATAATCTCAATGCGCTTTAAATCCTCAAAATATCATAAAAACGTCACAATCGCTTCTTATTAAAACGAAACAACAATACGATGCGAAAATGCCGTCAGAGTATTTGAAATCAGATGTCTGCTCAACAGTAAGTGAACATGATATACGATACGATCCTATTAAGCAAAATTAAGGTCACAGATGCGTTATTATCCAGAGTCCACCATCGAACTATATCCGTGTGGTGATATAGAAGGGCGGACTCTTATACGCAGCTTTGGTGTCTCTAGTTCAATAGATAAAAATATATTATCACATATAACCAATAAACCTATAGTTAAACATGTCATTTAATAACATGGTCACTAAGATTTTTGTAAAGTAAGCCTATAAAAGAAGGTCGAGCACTAACGGTCAGCTGGTTTGTGATCGTCACGAATGATCTCCTTAGGGAGCACCGTATTCTGACGAGGGCGCGGAAGCGGGAGGTCCGTACTCGGGCTTGGGGGCCGCGGCAGGGTAACCTTCCTGTTTCTGCAACAAAATAATATGTCATAGGTTATTAATTATAGCAATTACATAGGTAACAACATATCATGTTTATTGTTCGCAAGTTGTGTTATTGATTTCCAGAATTTTCCAAAATTGAAAGAAAGATGAAAGAAAAGTAAGTACTAGACGGATCTGAATAAAATTTAGTAAAGACATAGGTTCATAGCCTGGAATTACACATAGGCCCTTACCATAGACTAGGTACTCTTAACCGTGATATTGCGGAAGAAGCCGCTGGCTGCAGCTACTTATTACATACAATCGAAATATCATTGTTACTTAATACAAAATTTATTGCAAAAAAGTGAATCTACATAAGATAAAAAATATGTGCAAATAAATTACACAACATCTCGTTTAATACTTCGTTTAGTGTTTCAGATATAAAATGATAAATAATAAAATGTTGCATAAAAGTATCTTGTGTTCTTTTAATTTTATACGAGCTAAGAGTGCACACAAATGCATTTTCAAGATGATGTGAATTAAGATTGCACTAAAGGTTAAATCATTTCGCAGTTTGTGAGTCGGTCACTAGGTGAAAGGATGCTTGACTCAAATAAAATTGGCACCAAAATGACTGAAATTCTGCGGTTTTTGCGGCTTAGCCAAAAATTTGGTTTGGTAAGTATTTAGGTGTCCATGTTGCAGTTACGGTACCTACTTACGTAAGAGTTGTAAATAGGCCGGTTTATTATTTGAATTTAAAACATTTTTCAACTTAAGTTAAAGAAAACTTGGATAATATTAGGTAAGGCAAAGGGCAAAATTTTTCCTCAATAGAGGTAGCACTAAAGACCCAGAAGTTAGTACCTATGTGTGTACTTAATTGAACACAAAATTTTCAAGTAGCTAATAAAATAATACGATAATAATATATATATATATGTGTATCATAATCACAACTGTTGTCTACCTACGTTAGCTACGAATAATTAATTAAAAGATCCACACCCAAGAGACGTTTGATTTATGAATGATCAAGTCTGGCATGCATTAATAACTAGATTTTCAAATTTGACGTTATATATCTAATAATCAGAATGAGGTCCTATGCCACGATATACCGTCACATGTTTTTACCTAATTTCGTATGAAAAATACAAAATAACAGCCAGTGACAAAAATGTTGTGAAATCGAACTATATTGTTACGAATTGAAATTAAATAAATTCACTCTCACTTCATAGGCAGACTTCTGCATGACCACGTCTGTGTTATGTTTAAATTATAATCAAATTAGTTTATGGTCCAAATAATATTTGACCTACATATACATACATGTCTACTTGTTACGTGTTTGAGTCTTTACGTATTACCCACGATGTAATAATACTTTCGTTTTTAGCTCTACTTTGAACTTCTGACGACCCGTCAATTATAAAGCTATTTCAACGAAATGCACCTATGTTATAACGAGTTATTTATCATTACGTAAAAATATATTAAGTTACGGATTTATAAATATCTTTATCTCATGCATTAATACAGCTCAAAATACTTAGTTGTTATTGAAATTTACTGAATAAAAAAGAATGTATCTATTCTTTGGTAAATAATCTATAGCTATAAAAATCAATGCCACTTTTCGTTGTAATGTAATAACTCAACAATGCCTTTGCCAATTTGGAATTGGTCTTGAATTATTGGTGGAAGTCCAGAGAAGGTTTGTACGTAGAAGATTTTAAAAACATCTTGAAAAAGTGTAAAATCGACCTCAACGCGGCCTCAGCCGCAGGCGACCGCTAGTAGGTATACCCATATTTTTGATTATTATTGATAAGTATATTAACATTTAATTGGGCTTTTTTATGTATCTATCTATTAAATAATTACGCAAGTGAGTACGCCTAGGGGTTAGATATATCGATGCTTAAAATAAAATCATCATAATTTTATCAAGCACAAGACCGGCTTCCGATTTACGTAACACATATGTATGTAGGAGATATTTCTAGAAGAGGGTTACTTGTCGGTCGTTAACGATACAAAAAATCAAACTGCCCACTTGTTGCAAGAGCCATTGCGTTAAGTACTAGAAAATACGGGTTGTCGGAGCACAGTGGCATCCTCGGTTGCGTTAATGTAATGATGATAGCAGGTGTACCTACTGAGCGACGAGCACGCTAGGTCTTGCAGATAATGCCATATAATACTTCCTTGATTGTTGTAGGAAATGTTTACGCGCACTTTCACGAGGCAGAGAGCGGACGCATCCTCGAAGCATCATCATGCCGCATGCCATGAAGACATTATCGAGAAGAATTTAATTGGGATATAAATCCATGGAATTAATCAACCACTCGTTCGCTCATTTAGCTAAACCTGTGAATGGTTTATACTGTATTATACCGAGCAAATTCCATTTGCTTCGGTGCTAAGTTAAGTTAGGCAATCATTACGTTAACGATGCGATTATTCTTTGTTTTTAATAATATATTATTCATATATTATCTTAATATCTTTTGTTTTTGGCTATTTCTGTTATTATATGATTTTATAAATAATATAAATCTGTTTGATCAATTAAGTTTTATTTCACTAATGGCACAGATTAAAAAAGTGTATATAGGTACTACAAATAGAACATATGTAGTACGCCTCTACGTTTCTGGACAGTGCCAGCAGTGTATTAACTTTTGTAAATTATTTTAGGGATCCCCATATCCAATGTGTTTTTTTTAATAATTTGCGCATTGTTTTACAATATTCTGACTATAATAATACCTATAAAAAACAATAATAACAATAAAAATAAAATTTTCTTACCTGGGTCTTGTATCTGATGAAGTAAACTTCGGGTTTGGATGGCTGTGTGGGTGCTGGAGTTGGGATCACGATGTCGGGCTGCTCCTCGGGCTTCTTCACCAAAACGTAGACCAAGGTCTTCTCCTCGTTCTGTGGCTGCACAGGGATGACAGGAGCGGTGGGAGTGGGAGGGGTTGGCGCCTTAATGAACACAATTTTGTAGTGTTTCTGAGGAGGAGGCACCCAGATGGGTTTGCGGGGAGCAGGGATGTCGTTGTCTGGAGGTGGGACATGCACGTACACGTGCTTGTGCACTATGGGCTGTTGGGGAGGACCATACTGAGGCGCGGGAGCACCGTATGAGGAGGAGGGAGCACCGTACGACGATGAGGGAGCACTGTATGACGGGGCTGGTGCGCCGTATGACGACGGGGGCTCTGGCCTCGCGACCGCGCAAGCGACCACCACCGCCACCACCAGAGATCGAAGTACCTGCACACATAAATCACGACTTGTTACAATCTACTTACTTCATTTTTATTTTAATTTTTGAAAAACACACTAGCACTGTTTTATTGGAAGGTATCAATAAATATGTTATCAGGTTCGCACTAATATCACCAGGTCACTATGATCAATACGATCCTCACAAACAGCTCGTCACAGCACCTACCGTTTTTTCACACATCCTGAGTATGCGATTAGACGCAGCTAGATAGTGTAATGTCCAGTACCCAGGCGCCACCTGTGTTTATAAGACTTGTGCGCTCCATATCCGGGGGAGGGGGCACTTTCGATGGTTCACATACCTTTCGCAATAAGATGGTGCTCACGCGCCGCCCTCCTACTGACGCCGCATCAAATGACGTGCTCGAGGGCATGTTCTGCCGTCAATCCTCTTGCTTGGCTATCGAACCGCTTAGAATGTTTTTTTTTTTAATATTGACCACATAACATTATGTGGTAACAAAAAAAGAAAAATCTATTTTCGCATGGCCTACATATTTTATTAAATAAAAAGCGCTAGCTAGATTGAAGTTACAGAGCATAAACATAATTTCATTCCTAGCTTGCTGGTACTATTTTTATAGGTTAGTAATATCTACATACAAATAAAGTGCATTGCATACCGACAGACGTAAAACGGATGATTATGGCCTTAATCTACATATTACAAATTCTGGTTTTATGTTGTTTTAAGAAAATATTCTTATTATTTCAAAAATGACTGTTTACTTCGCGTTGTTCGTCTTGGTTTGTGTTACTTTAAAGGTTTTATATGTGCTTCACAATAAATAACTGAAATCTATAGAATACCGATTAGATAATCAATTAGGCTACATCGTGCGAAGGGCTGATAGAGGATGAACCAGCAAACTGCTCAAGTGGCTGCTACGGATCGGAAGATGAAGCGATGAAATAGGCAGCCCTCCGCTAGGTGTACGGGCAACATCGTCAGAATTGCAGGGAGTCAAAAGATGCTAGGCCTTCCGCCTGATGACTATGATTCAATTAGGACTGAAGCCAGTATCAGTAACTAAATCATTCCAAAACTTTTTGCGTGATAGGGCAACGAATATCCAAACCTGCAAACTTTCACATCTTGTTTCGTTTATTTGATACCTACTTAGTACTCGTTACATCGAAACAAACTCATTAACTAAGCTCAAACTTACTAGATAAATATGATAGTTACAAGTATCAATAACACCGTATGAATTAACTATAGTAATAATACCTGAACGTGCATTGGTGCGTAATAGCAGGACTGCATTGAATGGTTGGCAGTAGCTCGAAGCTAAGTATCACATCTGATAAATATTTCACGCTAGAAGCAAGTGTCATCCCGAAATGTCTCTAATAGTGGTGGTCTAGCCAAATGTCCCTCGTAAGTACCTCGAAACCAAGTAATCGCAATTTGCTTTGAGTTCAAATGTTAATTTACTGCAGGTTACACTCTCAACGCATCTTTTGCAACTTTTATCGCCGTATGCAGTAAGTACTCCATACAAACTGAAGTTAAACAAGTACATATTAACTATAAAGGAATGTGAATGTTTATAGCTCCTCATTGCTTCATTGAGAAAATACATTACGGAAAGTAGAATTAACTTCATTCGATATTCTTGTAACCGCTGTTCACTATCGGTCCTCAAATCAAAAGCAGCGTAGCAGCTCCATGGGTAATGCAAAATGCAACAGAAGTACGTTGTTGATTAAAACACAGCCTGTTGTGCAGTTTCGTGTTGGTTTACTTGTGATTGATTCCATCTAACCAATCGTTTCCGATACGACACGCTTGCTTGTTTCGCAGTACTGCGCTCATTGTGAACTAGGTGCTCGCTTCTAATACATATAATGTTTCATGACAAATGTAGAGACGCGTTGCGGATGTAATTTGTAGTGCCAACAAAACACTTAGTGACAATCTGTCAGTGCATCATTGTTTACGGTCTGTGTTGAATCGAAGTGGGAATAATTGACCCCTGACTCGGCGTAGGCCCCAGAATGTGGAAACACCAGGAAGGTAGGCGAGCATCGATGCCTATTTCTACGAAACCGGTTGATTTATACCTACATGCGATTACTGTTTGTGTTATCTGGCACGCGGTGTTCTATAACATCCTTAGTAATCAACACCATGGTTCATTACTATTTTGTGTAGTTCAATAAGTAGGTACTAAAATGTCATTATAATAACATTACGTTCTGCGTCTTAGTTTCTTGCATCAATACACAATATTGCTGTAAGACCATAAGAACACAGGAAGAAAACTTGTTGTTATGATCGCACCACTTTATTCTCAATATCAATTTTGAACCTCCCGGTTATCAACCTCAATTTTAATTGTATTTTATTAAAATGACTTGAGCTTTAAATAAAGAAATTTTACAGCAGCAGAAATTAAAAATAACGTCAAATATCGGGTAATAGCTATCTGTAAATCAGTATTTCGCCGTTCATGCATTTCTCTTATCGGTGTTTTATAAACTATTAAACGCCTAATACCTATAAGTTGCAGATTGGTTCGGCTCATAACGAGGCACAGCCGTCAAGTCACGCGATATCGAGAAAAGATTACACTCGCGTACTGGGAGACGAAGGCGCCCTTGATTAACAATTAACTACGAGAGGTCTTGGGAAGATTCTCCGAAGCAAATGTTGACACATCCGAAAAAGCTCCAGTTGTGACGCCTCGTGCATTGTTCCGTGCCCGTCGTCTTAGTTACAATTGATTAGTGTACATGAGTACATATCCGGCACGTTTCAGAACCTCGCAGCCTCCCAGTATTGGCGAGTGTGGACTAACGCTGCATGCAACTCTCCAACCTTAAAGATATGTAAACAAATAATAAAAATACAGTGACAAAAAACTATTTGACCAAATAACAAAGAATAAGAAGTTTGTAAGAAATGGCGTTACTATCGTGCTCCAGATTGAGATTGAGGACCGACTGTCTTCGAGAGGTGAGTTTATAAACCATTTTGATAGTATAGTTGCGAACAGATCCTTGATGTAATCATTCATGTCTGATTTATTGTTCTTATGATCTATGTCATACGTCGATGAAGTACGGACCCGATGGGTGATTATTTTATCAATATTTATTTTCTTTTTTCCGAATTTTAATCAAATTAGACACGGGACCTAGCTGCCGCCTTCAGTTATTTGTTTAATCATTTCTAATATTCAATAACGTATTCCACATTTCTGTTTTCGTAAGCTTTACCAAGGATAAGATCAATATAGCGATTGCGGTTTCAAATGAAATCTTTTTAAACACCTTGTACTCGTATAATTAGCCACCACACGAAATAACCTTTGACATAACTCGTCTCACTTCATTTAATAAATGCAAATATACATTCCAAACTATCGCTGTTATGTAATCCCCAAATCAAAGTAAATGCACGAAAATTGTTGTTTAAACAACTAATTAAAAGTTAATATAAAATAATCACGGAGAACACAAGCAATTAGAACGTTTCTCTGTGAAACAGTTTGAATAGACAATTGCAGCAACATTTTCGATATCATTATTTCGACCGCTACGCTTTACAAGTAAAATGTAGAAAGTTATGCAAGTAAGTACAAAGGGCACGGACGGACATTATGTTCTCCTAACAATACAGCTATTATTTTTCAAAGTATTCAAAATTCGACGTAATAACCGTATTTTCGTACTTATATAAAAACCCCAAGGCTCTATTATGCCAAATTACACAAAGGTTGCAATTCATCACGAACGGTATAGAACATCGTCTCGGACTCTTGTAAGTTGCGAAACCAAATTTTGAAGTCTGATGTGAGTACTACCCACCCACTGCAAAGTTTCGGAATTGCAACATTTATTTTGAGTAGACGATATGCGGACAACCATAATGTATGCGAGTAAATGTCAATATTTTTTATTCAGATAACAATATGGCAATTTAATTAAAAACATTTTTAAAATCTACCGTTATATTATTAATAGAATTCACATTTGGTTTGCTAATATCAAATAATCATTTTGAAATTCTTACGGAACCAATTTGGCTGGATGATGAGGACCTCGCCACGGTCAGCAGTGAAAGTTTACGAATACTTCAAATAAATGTAATAATCGTGACTGCATACAAACCGGTAATTGCGTTTATTTTAAAAAGATAAAATTAATCTACAAGGAGAAATATTTCAAAATCCGTCTGCTAGAATATTGAAGATTTGACAAACCAAGGAAGGTTTTCTTCTGCATCATTTACTTGCAGTGAATACTCAGGCACATCATGAATACTCAATAAAAGTTGGGCTGGGTATCAAACCCGCGGTACACTGCGCAGCAGATGGTTACCCAGTCGCACCAAATCAGCCTGTTTTCTAAATAAGGTTTTTTTTCAGTGTTGCCCAGTACTAATTTCTCCTGTGTCGTGGGTGGGGTTACAAACATACAATTTCACATACACATGACACTCAGACCCGGAACAACAATTTGTGGATCACACAAATATTGTTACCGTGCGGGAATCGAACCCGCGACACGTTGCCAGGCCTGGGTATGGTGTGTGTATATGAAATTGTACGTTTGTATACGCACCCACAACTCAGGTAAAATTCCAAGGAAAATGTTTTCTTTTTTTAAATATAAAAATGAAACAAAATTTCAATTGATGGTAAAAGTTGTATTAAAAATCAAGCCAGCATTTTTTGTTAATGTTGAATTGGATGTAACAGTTTGCCACGTTTGTGAGAATGGTTCGGCATTCACAGTTCAGAGTTCATCGTAATAAGGGAAATGAAGAAAGAAAAGATTCTTACGTGAATTATTGCAAAAAACACTCGATTTACTTAGCATCACATTGCACAAAAGTAGTAAGAAAAAATGGTATTATAAATATGGTTACGATTCGTTTTACTCATTGAATAATTATTTTGACCAGACAACAAGAAACAAGGAAATAAATTGGACACATCTATAACAAAATATTAAGTAGGTACCTACTGATCTACTAGTCCAAAAAAATTATTCGCTACGCTAAAATGTAGACACGTAACCTGTGTTTAAAAAAGGCCTACGAAGATGCTACGCACACGGCTACGAAAAACTAAAATTTATCGAATGTTTTATGTTTAAACGCAGTTTCATAAACAGTTTTACTATAATTGGATTCGTGGATGTATGCAAATACTGCTAAAGGGTTCGTGAAGAGAACTCTGATGAGGCAGAATGACTCGACCTAATTTATGAACCCTATAATTATTTATCTAGACGACTTGTCCAAACAAACTAATCATTCAGACGCAAAACGTATAAACAGATATGTTTAATTGTTTGGAATGTGGTGAGACATTAATACCAGTCCCATGCCCATGAGCTAACTTCGAGCTATTCATTGAGGCGTATAGAGTCCGGAACTATCCGGTTTGAGGAAGCTAGCGCGGGTATTAAACCGGCTTATTCCGCCCTTACATTGGCTTGCGTGTTGGTGTCGCACAACATGCGTTGCTCTTGACTGCTCTTGAGCACACTCGAGTAAATCAACTTGACGATACTATACTACTAGCTCTCAAGCATGCGTGCGCACCACAATCAAGTCGTGGGTCCAATCAAAACAGTTCAAAATATTTAACATTTGATTTTCTGTAACAGCCTTTCTTTTATGTACCTAACGGTTTGTACTACGATTGTTTACCTTAAATTATCCCATTTTAGTTTTGGTTTAACTCTACAAAACGTAGCATTCGTAAAATATGATGAGATTTACCTTCAATGATAAATAACTAACAAAGCGTCGTCGGTTTGTTTGTCCGTTGATACACAATTTATTGGCAGTTAGATCATTAGCCTTCATTAGCCGACTACGGCAATTTTAAACAATTTAAAAGGCAATTGAAATTGTGTCTGTTCTTAATTAAAAAAACACTGTAAGATCGGGCGTTATTTCTTATTGTCTTTGAACCTATCTATGGTATCAACCCACTCGCCGATTAAGCAATTATGTATAGCAATAGGTGAGTTATTTTTGAAATGATTGATACGAGTTCGAGGCTACGAAATTAAATAGTGAAGATCAGTACCGAAGCTCGTCTCGAGAGATGGCCGACAAAAAGTATGATTACATATCTACTTACCTACATACGAGCGAAACGAAACAGCAATAACGCAGTAAAGATCAACGTAACTAAAACGTCTAATTTAACCTCAAACGCTCTAACGCCTGGTTGTTTCACAACAAGAGAACATATTGAATCATAGTAATTAAATTCTTAACCTCTATGTTTCGTAAACATAACATTAAGAGTTTCTATACAGTGAAGAGCGATAAACTTAAACATATACCACTATACGAGTACCTACCAGCCAGTGCAGTTTGTGCAGTGACTGTTGTCATATGTTCAATCAACCAATTACTGACGTTGAATACTGAGAATTGAATGATCACAATCATGCTACCCAAAAACCAAGAGTTACATATTCCTGCTAAAACAGTGAATAAACCCAACAACTGATTTATACGACAATTCCATTTTATTGTTTATGTTAAAAATTGTTATTTATTTACCCTTTCATGTTGATAACATGGTGAAACTATTCAATTTCATTATCAAAATAGACCATTTATTTACAAGTTGCTAAAATAATACTTGTAGATTTGCACTTCAATAAGATAGATCAATACAAACCGGACACGCCGTTATTTGTTGAAAGTCTACTTTTAAATTGTGCATTGTCATGTCAACAGCTGTTAGCACAACACACACACTCCACCAGGCTACTGTTAAATTGTTATTGTAGCTGGGTCTGTTACGCTGACACACAATTCACACTAAGATAAAACATTGAACTTGACAGAGCCTGTCGGTACCCGTACTTTAGACATTGTTTGTAACGCATCATAGAAATTAATTTTATTTAGTAAATTTTTTTTTCAGATAACAATATTTTCAATATTATGGTGGACTTTAAGTTCAATATCAATCGCATCAGCTTCGCTCAACACACCAACAACCAAGAAAATAGATTTAACGCCGTCTCAGAATGCGAGCGTGGCTGAAGTGCTCTTTCATTGGGAGGACTACAGCGTGCTGGCCGCTATGCTGCTCATTTCTTGTCTGATTGGTGTATTTTATGGATATTTTGGTGAAAAACAAACAACAGGAGATGATTTCTTGCTTGGTGGCTCGTCGATGGGCACATTTCCTATGGCATTAAGTCTTGCAGCAAGGTTAGCATCCGCATGCCAACAGAAGCCTAATTGTAATGGTTTTTCTAACAGTCTTGTTTAATTTGACCTGACTATTTCCAGTTTCATCACAGCCATCGAGTTGTTAGGCAACCCAGCAGAGATGTACATGGCAGGTGCCCAGTTCTGGATGATTTGTGTCGCCTTTGTACTGGTCGTGCCAATTGCGAGCCATCTCTACCTACCGGTGTTCATGAGGCTGCGGTTGACGTCATGTTACGAATATTTGGTTAGTTATTTATATTATTATTATTCAAGGCAGGCGAAAGTTCAAAGCTAGAGGTAATTTGTCATGTAAATAATAAACTGAAGAAAAATAAAAAAAGTAAGGAACAAAATAGTTAATTTAAAATTGGAATAAGAAGTAAATTCTTCATGAAAAAATGCAATCTGTGTAAGTAATTATGTGGTCACCGTACTAAGCTACATAATAAAGACATTTAACGAATACAAACATAAAGTCTTCAAGCAAGGTAATAATATTTTTACTGTGCTTCAAGTTTAATAAATGGCTTTTAACATTGGAATTGATTGGAGAATGGAGAACTGAATTATTAACGATCAATTTGTTTACAGGAAGTAAGATTCTGCAAGTCCATCCGTGTGTATGCAAGTGCGCTGTATCTAATGCAGATGATACTTTACACGGCAGTGGCGGTGTACGCGCCGGCTCTAGCCCTCTCCGATGGTAATTGAAAACAGAATGGTTCTTCAATAGTCCTACTCTTACGAGTTGCTAAGGTTTCATTAGCTAATAAACCACTCTAATCAACTCAAGTATAGAGATATCAATTTCAATATTTCAGCATCATAGAAAATTATTACTTACATAACGTTCAATACAAAAAGTATAATTAAAATAAATTAGTACCTGTATTTGCCAATACATACACAATTCACATAATAGCCATAATTATCTTCATTTATGGCTATTGTAAATTAATAATTACCTCAATAATATATTTATGAATGGCAAGAATCTGCTGAAAACCAACTAATTACTTACTTACATAAAGTTAGCAAAATAACAGCATCAACAATCTACTGCAGGCGAGGTTACAGTGGTTAACATTTCATGAAATAAAATATAGAAATTCTTAGCTCTTAGACTCAAAGTCAACCATTTGCATGGCCATAAACTTTAGACCTTGAAAAATCTATATACAGCTAAAAAAAACTAATGTTTTAAGTTGAAGATAACAACTTCAATGTTATGAAAGCGATGCGCTCGATTTCATTTACATATAACCACGTAGTCAATGTCAATAGAAATTTCGTAATGTGTGGAGTTGAAGCTAATATGGGGTCAAGTGAACCTGTGCGGTTTGTTCCTGTCCTATCCATACGTTAATAATTCAATGTCACTGCATTCGCTTCTCACGTAACAAGGGTCTTGGATGCTTTACGTGCCACGGTTACATCAGACAACCCATCGCTAAATATTTTTATACCATAACATAGTATCGCCATTTATATACATAGATACAAGCAATTTGCTTTAATTGCATTAAGTTATATAATCTTGACAGTCACTAGAACGAATTGAAATTTTAAGGTCTTACGACGTACACATTTCTACTCACGAAGTAATTAACCGTGTTTGTGAATTTATTTAAAATTAGCTAGTCCGCGTTTTCACTTATTGAATTTTGTACCAGTTCATACTAGGTACGATTTGCACCATGAAGAATGTTATTTCGTGTTTGGCTCGCTTGTATGATATTTTTTCTAATAATAAGAAAAACAATCATTAAGTTTTTTCAATAAATCAAATATGTTCATTATAAGAAATTGGTGTCCAAAGCAAAATACTTTCAAAGCTACTTACATAAGCAAAATGTTATTTTTTGTTTAGTAATACCGATCGCTAGTAATGTTACGATTATTTATTCGGCAACTTTGCCTACTTATTATTTCTCAAGTGGTACTACAAAGCGTGCAACACTGCCGAAAATCAACATTAGAATTAAAATTCAAATAGCGTGCAAACGGCGCGATAGTACCTACCTACTATTTTGGTTGCATCACAACTCCAAACATATAGGGTATGCCTATATATTGCTACATTAACTTTTCTTATCCTTGAACCTGTGCAGCCTTGGTATAAACGCAAAGGTATCAAACTATCAAAATAGCCATCTTAGCGTGGGGTTGCTATTCAACATAAATAATTGAAAAGGCGAAGCTTCAGGACGTGTTCAGGACGCGAATGTCGTTCTTAAGTACATAGATATAAAAATATCTTTCTTAAAACACCCATTGCGCTAGTGGCAGTGAAACTTCGTTATCGTTGTTTCTACATTAAAAGATAACTTAGTGAACTAGCACAATTTAAATAATTAATTAATCAAGTCTAGGGTAGCTTAGAACATTTTATCAAAATTCACTTGAACATGAAAGTTCTACGAGAATAGGCTTCGTTCTGGTTTAGTTATGTGCTATTATAATTATTTTCCTTGCATGGATTTGCTTAGAATGGTCGCAAGAAGTTTGAATATTCGATATCAGATCATAAGAAAAACCTCGCTCCCAACTAGCAGTGCATATGAATGCAACTGCGTAACTAGCTGATGACTTTCAAACTATTAAATAATATTTATTTCACAAAGTAATACAAGGTTGTGTTATCATGTTACTTATGGATAATATTTTAATATAATCCATATTGCGTATATGTATTGTAGACGGCGCCGAGGAGCAGTCGCGGTGAAAGTAAAGTCTAGTATAAAACAGTCACATTCGTAGCAAATACTGCAATGAACTTCGACATGTTAGCTAGCATCTTAGAGGCAGATGGTATATCGTACGATGGGCATATCCACACTATTTACAACCGTGTCAATTACTTTATGAGTAGACTATGGTTTTAAAATATAGAGGCTGTCGAAACTTTTGTAGAGTAGTTTTAGTAGATAGGTACCTATTAGACTGGACACTCTTATGACCTACAATAAACGTGTCCTTTTATGCGCGTGTGAGGTTTTACATAACGCTATATTTCTGTCGTCAGATAATGTTCACGTGTAAAAATAGGTAACTATCGGAGGTACTAGATACCTTTTAATACCAGGTGAAAATCTAATTTCATAGAGTGTAATTAAATAATCGAGTCTTATTGAAATAAATGATTTTGACTTTGACTTTGAGTGAACTCCTCGTTTGTATAAGACGAAATGGGTATTTGGACTCTAACTAACCAGATGCAATAGAAATCATATTCCCCATAATCTTGTATCTTTGCGTAGGCGAATTTACATAGCTTAGGATTTCATAGAACGTGTGATCCGTCAATATAAATACGGCGTTCGCCCATTATTGGTTAGACCAGCAGAATGTCGGTCCTTATAACAGCTTGGAGTTGTCATGCTCGCTGGTCACACTGGCGGTGGCATGGGCGCTGGATCGCTTAATTCCCTATGATATGATTGAGTTGGGCGATGCTGGTGTACGTGTCATGTTCGTGAACGGGCGCCGTCGGTTGGGACTGGTCAGCTCCAGACTGTTTATTGTCCTTAAGGTTACTTTCTTTGTATATTTGAAAAAATATTAGTGTTATACTGTTCTCACATAATTGAACCAACTGAAACTTTGTGAAACTGATTTAAAAAGAGTAACTATGGAGTTTCTTGCTCGTTCTTCTCCATCGGAATCTACACTTTAGAAAGAGCAAATAGCTTCACTAAGAGGACTGACCGACAGACTGACACTATATCTTCAAAATTTTGTTTGACGTTCAAAAGTGCCTGTAAGGGTCTAATTGGAATAAATGATTTTTACTTTTGACTTTGACTATCCTGCACTCCAAAATTGAGAGAAATAAAACCATGACTGAAACATTGGTAGAAGCTATTTCTACAAGAATCCCATCCCACAAGTTGTCGACTATGGACTTTGTGTCGTTACACGACCAGAGCAATCATCCTCAACAAAGAAGCACGATGTCACAATTTTAAAGCAATGTATTAACCACAAAATTTAGAAAAAAAATTACTCAATAAGTAGTTCAATACATCACATAGAGTGAAAGTTATTCTTAATGACCCTTTTCTTATAAACACTAAACTTAATACCTTTTTAAGAGATTCAAGCACCAAAATACATAATAATTTGAAAGTCGATATAAATCATTCATAAATCGAACCATTATGAGTGATAAATAATCGATTCAGATTTATAGTCGGCCTTCTACTTGCGAAGTTGTGAAATAAAGTATCTAATCAGATATTCAGCATAGACATACGTTGGTTAATTTATTGATATTTTATTGCCATTACACTTATTGGTAAGCTCATGTTGGTGTTAGTACGTAAGCGACTGTCGGTGTCACTTGCCATCCGTTGCAGGTAAGGTGCATTGATGACATCTATGCACTTTAATCTGCCCGTAGGTACCGACCGATATGATATTGCACAAGTTATATAACTTCTACATTATGTCGTGTAAGGCATCAGTAATGACTTCTAATGATACAATAGTAGCCATCGTTTTGGTTTTGGCGATTGGTGTCAAACGTTTTGTGTCGTCACTGCAAAAACGAAGGGGAAGGCCTGAAGTTACAATTTCCATACCTATTAAAAAAAAAAACTCTCATAAAATCATTTCGAATAATCACTCCGGAAAGAGTTGACAAAAAGTATATTTTATAAAGTTATTCAGTATAAATAGAAAGGACGACGAAATTACTATTTGTTTACAACGTGTTTACTAAATTTATTAATATTTCTTAATTTTTTTAACCAAGATCATGTTTACCCACAGTAACCGGCTTGAATACCTACTTGGCTGTGTCCCTGGTGTACGTGGTATGCATATTCTACGCAACACAGGTCAGCATTTTCAAATTATTTTTTTATTAATTCTTTTTTATATCTACCAGCTATTTTATAGCGTCGTATGAAACGTACGTACGAACGTATTATCGTAGAGAACGAATACAGAACAGAAAGAATAATAATGATATAAGTATATCACGGTGGTGAAACAGGCTCACAATAAACTTGTGTACAAACAAATTATGTTCTAGATATTTAAATTTTTCACGTAAATTATGGATTTTCAGACTCATGAAACCGTCCCTTGGTAAGCTAAACCTGACCATAGAGTGGCATACGTCTAAAGGTTAATTCACATTGAAAAAAATATATAATAAACTACCACGACTTAAAGTTATACAAAGTATGAATTGCATAATACACATTTGTAAGTACATTAAAATCTCGCCTTTGTTCCATGAAGGTAGGCAGAAACCACAGAGTGCTGCTACGATAATTAACGTCGCTAAGCGGTACTCCGTCGCTCGCCTTTCGTCCAATGCAAAGAGAAAAATTAGACTAATAGTGTTGTTTTTTACTACAGGGTGGCATGAAAGCAGTAATCATGACGGACTCTTTTCAATCGGCTGTTCTAATTGGTTCCTTGGCAGCAGTACTAGCAATGTCGTCGACACAAGTCGGTGGATTCGATGTCGTCTGGGAACACGCTTGGCGGACAGATAGGCTACACTTTTTTGAGTAATTATAAACATTTCATTTCCTACCCTATAGTGAGATTGCTATTTAGCTCTTAGATAAACTGTAGCACACACATACTATTCGTTTTGGGGTACCTACATTTAGGTACCAAGATATCATATGCAAAGTAAAATAAAGCTATAAACTGAAAAATGTCGATATTGATCTTAAATAATAGGAATAAAATAACCCTATTCACCTGATCCCCTATTTTAAGTAATTGCAAAAGTTTTCGCTTAGTACTCTAATCAGGTAATGAAATGGAAGAAAATCAGAATGCTATCTATTATAATTCCGCCCATGTTTAGTCTTTTAAACTAAACGTGCCTTCGCGTAAACACGTAGCTGGTACTTATTTTACCATTGTAGTACTACCTACCCACTAATGTATGTAAGTGGGTGACTTCAAAAGGCAGTGGTATGTTGTTGTGCTTGAAGTTCGCTCACCTCGTAAACAAAACATTACGTAACCGATACGAGATTAAACAAATTTGGTCATTATTATTAGTTCATACATGCATCTTCTTAACCAGACTTATTTGTAACTTAAAAAGTACGTTATCAATTAAATATTTGATTTTTGTCTTCAGCATGGACCCCGATCCTACTGTCCGCCATTCATTTTGGTCAGTGGTCATAGGCGGCACTATGTACTGGGTCAGCATGTTCTGCGCAAACCAGGCATCAGTACAGAAGTACTTGTCAGTGGAACGCGTAGCACAGGTTCGAGTGGCCCTTTGGGTGTCAGCCATTGGCCTGATCGCCGTCTACTCAGTAAATTTCATCACCGGCGCCGTCCTTGCTGTTCATTACGCTGACTGTGATCCGATTCAGGTGAAACACGTATTTCAATACTAAATCAATGCAGCCTTGTCGCATTACTATTTTTATTCAATTGACGTTTGATGTTGAAACCCGACTTTTCACTAACGCGTGGTCTACAAATAAATCCTACGAAGAAATCCTTACAGGGCTTAGATGATACAGAAATTGCTTAACATGACAAGGCATGGTTAATTAAGTACTTTTCTGTTTGAGTATGGTTTCTAATAAATTAATAACAAAATGTTTTTTACCTCAGGCTGGTATCATCAACGCATCAGACCGTCTCCTGCCGCTCTACGTAGTGAACCAGTTGGGAGGTTCGCGTGGAATCCCAGGTTTTTTTGTCGCAGGAATCTTCGCAGCTAGTCTCGGGTAAAGTTAAACATCACACATGTAAAACTAGCACTAAGAAAGTTTACGATAATTGTTTTCCAAGTTATCTATTACTTAATATATCTAACAATTCTCCTTTACTATCTTACAATTGGGAAATCAAAATTTACACTGTGAAACTTACGAAAGCTTCTTGAGAACTGACTGAATGGCAGTAGCTATGATACAAATTTAAAATAAGTAAAACTAGAAATGTCCAGTTGGAACATGGATGTTCATTACTGGACTTTTCTGGTTTTAATTTGAAAGTATTGTACGCCGTCTAAATCCTTATTTATTTGTGCTTGGTAGCACTTCGACTTATTTGGGACGTAGTGTCGTAAACGACACTATAAATTTGTAAGTTATAAATTTATAATTTACGAACGGTGTCTATATCTACACATAAATCTAATTATAAATTTCAAATGCTTATTATTGGATTGAACAATTTTCAGAACTGTAGCATCAGCGTTAAACTCTCTAGCTGCCATACTATGTCAAGATCTCGCAACTGGGCTTCTTGGACTAACGCTGCCAGAACAAAAAGGAGCAGCAGTAAGTTTTAATAAAGTTTCATAAATTAAGAGAGGTTCTAAATCTTTCAAAAGCTATTTACTGAATTTTGCAAATCATTTATCGTTCCCTCTCAGATAGCGCGCTGGGTGTGCCTCGCTTGCGGTTTGGTGTCTTTTGGACTGGTGTTCGCAGTGGAACGACTCGGCCCAGTACTGCAACTAGCACTCTCCTTCAATGGGATGGCAGGTGGTGTCGCCCTAGGACTGTTCACACTTGGCATGTTCTTTCCATGGGCTAATGCTAAGGTTTGTTGATTGATTTTCCGCTTATCATCATCTATTTACAAATAGAATTACCTACCGTTTAAGTTTAAAAAATACAAAGTTCAAATACAATTTCTCGGAAATGCCTACATAAATAACGAATGTATAACACATTAATGCAGGGAGCTGTAGCGGGCGGCGTGTTTGGTCTAGTAGTGGTGGTAGTTGCTGGCGGAGGTGCTCAGCTGGCTCAGCTTCCGATGCCGCGTCTGCCTGCCTCGACTAGTGGCTGTGTGGTGCCCTACAACATGACTACGCTCATGACTATCAACCCAGAGTAAGCATTATTAGATTAAGCTACCTAGATAAAAAAAATACTGAGTTTTTTTATTAAGATCTTCTGAAGCCTAATTTCTTGTTTTCAGTGAAAATCAAGACGACGCAGTTTTTTGGCTGTTCCGAGTATCCTATCTCTGGTACTCCGGATTAGGATGTGCTGCTACTTTATTGGCAGGATTGATCGTCTCGGTTCTGACTGGTGTGACAGATCCAGCGCAGGTGCCGATAGATCTGATATCACCGCCGATCGTCGCACTGCTCAATTCCCTACCTAAAAGATTAAAGGTATGTAGGTTTACCTAATTGGAAAAAATATTACCTATGATCATTAGTGTACGTAGTGTGTGTAGTGTACCTATTAAAAATGCTAACCATACATTTATTGAACATTACGATAAAGTTTTCTCGTTTGATATGGACATCATACATTATTAAAGTTATTTTACTTTACAACAGAGACTTTTAAGGGTGCCGACTCGGCTTGGATCGGAGCGTCGTCGCAGCTCAAGTATTCGTCCACCTGGAGTGGCTGACGACAAAGACACGCGCCGTCGCCGGCGCCTGTCCGAAATGGCCGGAGGAGTATTTTACAGCGACACTCCGACACTCACACGAGGCTACGACAACTTCGCTCTTGGTCTAGACCCAGAAAAGCCCCCACCAGATGACCGTATAAAATCCAACAGTATTAAATTTGATCCTACTTCAGATAATCACCAGCCTGAAACATCGACTTGTTGAACTTTTGCAAGTAGCAGAAAATATCTAAATACTAGGGAATTAGTAGGTACCTACCTATAAATATTTTTTGATTAACTTTAACTTAAAGACGTTGAAAACTGATCATAATTCTCGAATGTACCTTTGTAAGTAATTAGCAGTAAAGAAGGTAGGTAATTAGATAATTAAACATATATATAAGTAGGTATAGATAACCTGTTGGGTACCTACATAGCATTGAAATTAGGGTACCTAACAAACTTATACATAAGAATAAGCGTGTTCCCAAACTTTCTTATCTTAATTGTAGGTAGCAGTCACTGGCCATTAATCTTCTAAACGGCTCAACCGATTTTCGTCAAACATGTCTAAGAAAACTCGCACGTAAATCACCTTTAATACAAAAAAAAAAACTAAATTGAAATCGCTTCACCCGTTAAGGCTCCAGGTTGCCACAGACAGACAGACAGAGAGACACGTCAAACTTATAACACCCCCTTTTCGCGTCGGGGGCTAAAAAGATCTTTGTGAACCACTTCGACTTACCTATCCTTGGTCAGCGGCTATATGACTACTACACCTCTCTACGTGTAGCCGAAATAATGGGTATGGTCCCTTTCTGTCAATATTAATCTTTTTTAGGGTTACGTAGTAAATTAGAAATCCTTATAGTTTCGTCATGCCTGTCCGTCCGTGGATAAAATCACGTAAAGTCAATGATGTATAAAACTATAGATACGTTGTCCGCGCTCTAAAATGACAACATGAAATGAAGGCAATTTGACAACATCGCGCTTAGTTACGCACCAACCTGCCTATGTTTTTAATTTATATCGTGTGTGTAAACCTATGCGAAACATAAAGAAAGCATGCCGTCGTGTGTGTTCAGACGATGTACAAATTATACTCCAAAAGTTAAAGACAAAAATGTGTCATTTCATGCGTAAGTTCACCAAACAACCTATTTTTATTTTATTTTTTCGACGCCGGCGCCCGCCATCTTATGGCGGCCGGCGCATGAAGGTATAGTCACGTGCTGATGTAACTGAAGATGTATATTTATCTCCCTCTAGCAAAGGCAATCCACTATACGATGTCATATTTTCTTTCCCTTTCTTTACTCGTAGAAGTAGTTATCTAGTATTTTCGCCGTTTTTAAGCGCCGCGATGTTGGTTCATGACGTGTCTATATATAATACGTCATTGCGTAAAGTGCGGTTTTTTTTAAATTCATCCCTATTGTGGAATAGGTATTGAAAAATTGTAATGTTAATATTTTCGGACGTAATCGAATTCGATGTTGTAAAAAAAAACTGAACTAATTTTGTAATTTAACCGTATACGAAAGCATTTTTTAAACCTTGTTTGTACCTATAATTAATTATACTAACCTAGTATCTTCTTTCAAAAAAAAGGATTATTAAAACCGGTTTACGCAATCCAATATTACCATTAAAAAAACTTAACATACATTACCCGTTTAGTTTGTTTAAATTTGTTACCTAATTCCCTAATAGATGGCGCTGTACTTTTGCTACTGAAACTACGGAACCCAACACGGAGCGTAGCCCGATACGCTCTTGGCCGGTTAATAAATAGGAAGTACGAAAAACTACCGTAGGGAAACATGTAACATATGACCAACACAACAATTCTTCGACCGCTATACTGGAAGTTACTACATTTATTTCAAACATTTCACTATGTCCACTACCTACCTACCACTTTTTTTGTGTCATCATCATCATCATCATCGTCATCAAATCATCAAATGTCTTGCCGCCCAAGATGGAGCGAGAGGGAAAGTCTGACTCCTACTGACTAAAAAGTAAAAACTCCCCCGATCCTTCCCCTGCTCTAGGTCGCATCGCGCTGCCTTATTGCGCTTCCCCGCAACCCCCGCTGAACATCAGCCCTAATAGGGCCCCGCCTGTGTTGTCCACTAGATACTGCTGCTGTTTAATTCCATAATATTACCACGACTCACTCGTGGCACACATTGACATAATCTTTTAAAACAGCGATAACCAAAAATATACTAGCAAATAATTACATCCATTAATTTGTATACACAGTAGCGTATCGGAGGACGAAATGCCGACAGCATTCTCTGTCCGTCACGTATGTGGTCGGTACGGTACCTGCTTTGCAGATCTGGATAGGTAGGTACGCAGCAAAATAATATCATCAAATGACTTCCTCGCCCAGGGTAAGACGAGAGGCAATGTCACTGACGTAAAACTAAAAAAAAGTCCCCCAGCCTTAAGTATATTAGTATTAGTGTTTTAAAATCTGTTTAGATGTCCACCAGCTTGGAGTCTGTAGCGGCACGATCACGTCGCTACATTACTCAGATACGATAGAGATAAGACACACATGTTAATTGTTGCACGTTTGTTAGGATAGCTAAATCTGAAAATCTCACGCATCTCCTTAGTATATAAGCACCAGCAATTAAAGTAATAAACAGACCTTAACCATCTACAGTCTCATTATTTACCTTGCCACGAAGTCTGGCAAATTGGTGACCCGACGAAGAACAATCAACATGACTCATTCACCCTGCAAATCAAGCAGCAGCCAACAAGAAGCCTTGGAGATATCAGCCGGAACCGCCATTTTATCCCGTATTCCGGAATTTTGGAAGGGACCAACCCAGATTATGGTTTAAGCAACTAGAAGCCATAGTAGCACCACAGAAGCAAGGAGACGATTACAAGTACTATACGGTCATTGCAAAACTGCCAAAAGAAGAAATAATACAGGTTAGTGACCTCATTACTTGCCCACCGCCAATAGAAAAGTACAAGGCTATCAAAGAACGCCTAATCAGTTGCTATGAGGAATCAGACCAACGTCAGCTCCAAAAATTATTGTCTGAAATGGATCTCGGCGACCAGAAACCATCACATCTTCTGCGCAAGATGCGGACCCTGAGTAACGGAAATATCAGCGACGAAACCATCAAACTTCTATGGTTGAGGCTTCTGCCACTATCAGTGACTTCGGTTCTAGCAGTCACAGAAGACATAGATGTGAACAAGATGAGCCAGATCGCGGACAAGATATTAATAAATTCAACACGTACAGAGGTGTCAGCTGTAAACGGAAACAAATCTGGCGACGATACAATGTCATGCATACTAGCACAGTTAGCAGAAATGCAATTGGAACTAAATGCAATTCAGCAAGGTCAAAAAAACTATCGACGCAGCACTCAAAGTTATTCCAATCGTCGGCATTTCCTACCACAGTCAAGTTCAAGAGAAAGAAGGCACTTTTGTTTTTACCATGGAAGATTTAAAAAATATGCACAAAAGTGTGTTCAACCTTGTGATTGGAAACAGGATCTCAACTCAAGGAAACAGGGAAACTAATTGAAGCACGGACAACGGCGGAACTCTGTGCTATTCACCCGTCCAACCGCCTCACTATTACCGACCGAAAAAGTGGTATGAGATTTTTGATTGACACGGGAGCAAATATTTCAGTTATTAGCAAGCCACAGAGACATTCACTAATACAAGATGAACAATGTATACTTTATGCCGCCAATGGTACAAAAATTAAGACATATGGTGAAAAAACACTCTCTTTAAACTTCGGGCTACGAAGAAACTTTGTATGGAACTTTGTCATCGCCGATGTAACACAACCGATTATTGGAGCAGATTTTTTTAGAGCATTATAAGCTATTAGTCGATATAGCTGGTCGAAAACTCATAGATAGGGTAACTGAGCTGACAACGCCCGCAACCCTGATCAAATCGACGCAGCAAACAATCCGCACTATTAACATTGAGACGAATCCACGCATTACTCAACAAAAATACTCGACATTCGACAGAGAGTTGCTCGGAATATATATGGCAGTCAAACATTTTCAAAGGTTAGTCGAAGGAAGAGAATTTACTATCTTTACAGATCATCGACCTTTGACTTACGCATTTTCCCAAAAACCGTCATCTAATGATACGCCACGGCGAATACGACAACTGGATTTTATTTCACAATATTGTACCAACATTCAACATATAGAAGGACGTGACAATATTGTAGCAGACGCATTGTCACGGATAGAACAAATTGATGTGCCATCACCGATTAATTATGCTGATTTAGCAAGATGTCAGCATGATGACCAAGAATTATTACGACTTCGTAATAACAAGAATTTAAAATTTTCAATCAGCAGAAACAATCAGCACAAATGCAGTGGATAGTTCATCGACTGCCGCCGCCGTCACAACAAAGGCAGCAGTTTTTATTTCCTTCGAATTAGCAACAATGACATTACATTACGCATAGGATGTAATTTATCAGCAAGGTTAAGTTATTATATAATTAGGTACATACTAATTTTTTTTCAATTTATATGTTAATTATTTGTAAAAGGGGGGAGTATATGTAGCGGCACGATCACGTCGCTACATTACTCAGATACGATAGAGATAAGACACACATGTTAATTGTTGCACGTTTGTTAGGATAGCTAAATCTGAAAATCTCACGCATCTCCTTAGTATATAAGCACCAGCAATTAAAGTAATAAACAGACCTTAACCATCTACAGTCTCATTATTTACCTTGCCACGAAGTCTGGCAAAGAGTCCACCAGTGGTGTCAGTGGAGAAAACATAAAAATGACTTATCGAACATTTTTGCTAGGGAGACCCTTTTTTAGTGTACTCTACCTTCTGTGTTAATGCAAAACCATGGATGTTTGCCACATATGTAGTTCTCCCTTATCAAAATAGTATTGACCATCAACCCCAGAGGCGGGCATGCGCATATTTTTTATGATTTAGAACAGAATTTAGCCCTGTATCTAAAACTTTTTCGACTCTACAAAGAAGTTATGTAGTAGTGATACCAAGTATAACTCCTATCAAGAAACCGAAATCACAGAAAACCGGCGTGAAATAACCACTGCGTTGTGTTTCGCCGTGTGAGTGAGGTTACCGGAGGCCCAATCCTACCCCTTCCCCAATCCCTAAAAGGTCGGCAACGCACTCGTAACTCCTCCGTTGCGAGTGTCCATGGGCGGCGCTGATTGCTTACCATCAGGTAATCCGTCTGCTCGTTCGCCGACCTATTACATAAAAAAAAATAGATTATTTTGCTTGTATCAAAGTACGAGCAAATTGCGCTCCCAACTGTTAGTTGCATGCAAAAAGGGCCATAATGCTCGTTACTGAATCAGAATTTTAAATTAGATATACTTTACTTTATCATTACATCTCTAAGTACTTAAGTTTTATTTGTAAATATCATTTCTAGCTATTAATTTGTCATTAACGTGTAATTTAATAATACTTCCAATAATTTTATTTATGGCAATGATAATTCAAGAAAATCGTGATTCTTAGTAATTTAATGAGAATCTTATTAGTTTTATATAACACCACCTGTATGAATTAAAATAAAATAAAATAATGCCCATTTTTCTTTATTATTTATTTATTATTTTTAATGTACACTTATAATAACTTTGAAGGCTGACCTAAAAGAAAACTCTAGGTGTATTTGTCAAATACCAAGTTGTGGTACATACCTCTATATTTGCACTTGTTTATAATATTCATATAATAATGATAAATGAAAATTATATTTATAATACAATGCTAAAATCACTTCACTTGCCATCCAAGAGCATGATTTTAGCATAACATTTAAAATAAACTAACATAAATTTGGGCCAATATAAGAAGTCTCTGCTTAATATATTAAATAAGTATGTAGTATAACAAACATATTATTTCACGATAACAAGTCTTGGTGCTGCTGTGATTGTTGTTGGTGTATTTCTTGCATAGTGGAGACGGGCAGTGTGGCACTCACTGTGATAGATGGCATTCCTGGCAATGACACTGGTGTGACAACGGGCAGTCCACTAGAGATCGGAGGTGGCTGTATTGGAGTCTGAGCAAAGTTGGTCATGTCAAATGTGGGAACTAAGTTTGTGGCACCCTGTGGATACGCTGCAGATGTGGGTACTTGTGATGCAGTATAGTTTGGCATAATCGGTATGTAAGGTTGAGGCTGATTCATTGGAATACCAGGCAAATTAGGCAGAGGTGCTGGAGGTTGCATATTTGACACAGATGGTATACTACCCAGGTTGGTTAATGTTGCATCTGCTAAATCTGAAAAATAAAAGTAGGTTTTAAAATCATATACTACAGTCTAAAATACCACAATATTAAAATAGATTATACTGACTGCTAGAGTATGCTGCCATATTGGAAACAACTGATTGTGCCTGAGACATGGGCTGCTGTGTAGAAATAACTTGCTGTCCTGCTTGTTGTTGAGGAGTAATAGGTGGAGGTATGGTAGTCACACCTCCTGGTGGGGGGACATAATTACCAGGGTTGACCATTGGAACTCCTGACAAGAAAGGTGGTGGTACCCCTGGTGAGTACTCTGCCTGAACATTAGACACTTGAGGTGCAGACATCAAAGGAGTCTTATCATCATCTATGTTTAAATTTTGTACACCTGGTATTACATTCTGTTGAATGTTAGCAGTATTGGACATCTGAAAAATATATAAATATTTAAAACATATACAGGAAATATACAATGAAGAAATGTTTACAAATGTTAAAAAGTTATTATGTTACCATTGGTACACTAGCTGCATAAGGTTGTTTTGGTGGCAAGGCCTGTGCACTTCTTATTGGAATCCTATGCAGGTAGCCATAGCCTATTCCACATCCTAAGCTACCATCTCCACCCCAATTATGATTAGGTGTGATGTGCACTTCTCTACAAGTATCATCATTTACATTGTAAACATAGAGCTTCAAAGCTCTGCCCTCATGTGCCTCAATCAATGTAAATAGATCTTCACTCTCATGCATGATGGAATCTGCTCCTATTATATAATCAGAGAATGGTCTTAATCCAGCCAACTCCGCAGGCGATGATGGATGTACCTCCTATAATAATAACATTGTATGTTAGATCAATTATGCTATTTACAAAGAAATGTGTACCTTTTTTCTTAATTGATGACATAGAAAATGTTAAGTCTTCATTGCTTCTTACTACAAATAGCAATTTTGTTTACTGATTATAATTGTTTTGTAAATATAACAAATAAAACTTACCAATACATGCCAAACATTTTCATTAGCACCTTCAAAGGAACAAAATCGAATGCTAACTCCAAGTAGGCCCTGACCACCCCAATTAGCACTTGGAGTAATCATCACTTCCCTGACCATTTGAGTTTTACTACTATAAATTAACATTTTGATAGTTTTATCGACATTTTTCTTTAACAACTCCTTCAGGGTATCATTATCCTGGTCTAGCCTAGTGTCTTCAATTGCTACTATGAAATCAAAGAATGCTTCCAGATTTGCCTTTTGTCCTGGAGATCCATCTTGAACCTTTAAAAATATTGTAAATTTTAGATAGAACTAATTTACAAGGATAAGAAATAAAATACTGTTTTACAAAAAACAACACAAACCCGCAAAACATGATATCCTTCAGAGCCGCCTCCTGGCACTTCAGTACTATGGGAGGAACCCATTGATTAATTTTAAAAGTTCAAATGCCTGTTACCGGCAATTTTTATAATTTAATTAAGTTTTTATAATTTTTTCGATAAACTAAAAATCCTTTACAACCGCAACAATTTTGGCATTGACATTTCTATTACGTGGCATGAAGTTGCAGTTACATACACATCACTAGTCATAAACAACTTAGAATATTATGATTCGACTATATTTTTAGAAACAAAATGTAAATGCTAAAATAGTAGACCCATTTTAGCTTCCTTGTCTAGTCCTACCATGGAGGACAACCACGCACGCTAATCACTTAATAATATTTTTATATCAATACGATAGATACTTAGATCCTCACCACTTAATTCAAGTAAGCCCTACATTCCAAATTAACTTTTGTTTTCAAGAACCATCCTTGCCAACTAGTTGTGATTTCTACTAATATTTAGTAGAGTGCACACCACTACTGTTGTAGAGAAGTCACCATAGTTATTACTGTCATACGACTGTTATAATTGTCAACGCCAGTCAGTTCAGTCAGTGATACTGATGGGCCGAGTCGTCTTTTTGATAACTCGAGTAACTCGAGTTGACCTGATAACCAACTCGGGCTGCAACTCGAGTTGACTCGACCCGATCTGCCATAAGATACGTCGCGTTGTCCGGGTTGTCCGTTCGAGTCAGTAAACGCTCGACTCGGTGCATCGTTCTGCGGGTTGCTAGTTTGCTTGTCGAGCCCGACGGGCTGTGTGGGGTCGAGTCCATGCTAATGATAGTCAAATAAAATAAGTTTGTCAGACTTTAATGTTATTGAAAGTTGTAAGATTGGGCCAACAGCTTCACTATATTGTATAATGTGTTTTTTTTAGGTGGTTCACTAAGGTACTCGTATTTCCACTAAATTTGTATTGACTAGAACACAAATTGCATTGTACTTTAGTATTATTGTCTATTTTCGAAAAAAACTCCCACGCCACACTTTTCCTGTTTCCTGGAGCCATTCTAAAGTTATTAATCAGACAAACAAAACTTAATAAACTAATAATACCGCAACAAAACAATAAATTACGAACTAAGTAGTAATAACAAAAACGTAAACAAAACAAATATCTAATCTTTTGTGTTAAAACTTTGTCATTTGTTCGCCGAAGACGAGAACTATCTCTTTCACTCGCGGCTCGCGGCTCGGACGACGCGAAGGACTACGTTTCGTTGTTCGTGCTGACTCGGGCTCGCTCGGTGTCGTTCGGGCCTAGCGAATCGCGGGCTAGGCGGCGAGCGGGCGGCGGCGTCGAGTCGAGCCGAGCGGCGCGCGGCGGGCTGGCAACCTACCCGCCCCGCTCGCCACCGCGCGCGCTCTTCGGTTCAACCCGAGTTGCAGAAATATTAACTCGGGCTGACTCGCTCACGGTCTGACTCGAGTTGCCCGAGTTAGATAACTCGAGTTGCCCATCACTAAGTCAGTGTCAGATGTCACCACATTAATGAAATCATACATAATTTGTTTTCATGGACCCAATTTTCTCACCATTCCAGGAAAATAAAGTGAATTGCCTATTGTTATAAATAATGATTGGCTTTACATTTTCGTGCTATTGCTACAAGGTTTAATTTGCTGCTAAATCGCCTTAGCTTTTTTATTTAAAAGGTATGTCATCAGTCAACATCATAACATTAAAACACAATACATAACATTTTATTGATTTTGCTTTAGAAATTTAATTTGTTGCAGTTTATCGAAACAAGATCTATAATATATTATTACAACATTTAACAACTTTAAATTCATAGCAATGTCACCAATCTAGCTTCGAGGGGTGTGGCAGTGCAAATGCAAGTAAATGTATGCATAATACCGAAATTAAGCCTGATGTTTAATCTTAAATTATAACGAATATGTATAACTACTAAAAAAGAGCAAAAGCTTTAAAATATTCAAAACAAATACCAATGTATTTATGAAATAAGACAGAAACAAAAAATAATCAAAGATATTACAAACATTACATTGCAAAGCCTCTAAATATTACCAAGCAGGTATCATTCTCATTTCTTCAGGTAAAAAAGTAGATATTTATCATAATGAGTGAATGGAAGCAACTGATATCAGAATGGCTGAATGAGTATGCAGCTCTTCTGGACAATGAGATCAAAAGCTTTGCAGCTGAACATGAACACAATCATGAAATAGCTACTGCTATATTTAATCTGTTCTACAGTGAAGATGACAGTGGGACTAACACAAACAAACTAGAGAATGAGTCTGAATATGAACAGGTATTTATGGATTATTTAGATTGCTCCCTAATGGAAATTTTAGCCACTAAGTATTAATCTGTAGTATGCATATATGTGGATATAAGTGAGACACAATGTATTTTCTGTTGCGTCTCTAATACTGGCAGACGTAAGGTTAACATGTCATAAAAATCACTGTACTTGTTAACCACTTCTACTTAATACTGATTTATTTCAAATAAATAATTCAACTTCATTGCTTTAAACTGTACTACTTTTTTTAAATTTGTTTTTTATTTTAGATATTGGAAAATGTTTGCACCCAATTATTCAGTTTCTACAGATCAAAAGAAGTTGAGTTGCAAAGATTCACACTGCAATTTGTTCCTACTCTTATTTATAACTATCTGAGCTCAGTGGCTCAAGGAAGTAAAAGAACTTGGCGCTGCATAGAAACCTTGTTGATTGGTTAGTATTTTTTTCTGTATACCTACTGTATTTTAATTTATCAAATACCAACCAAATGATGGCATTCACTCACCTATTGTTGTTCTATTGTGTCTCAAATACCATGATTAAAAGTTAAAATAAATAACTTTGGACATAATATCAACAAATATTTTAAAATGATTTTACAGGCCTGTATAACTATGAAGTTGTGGATGAAGAAGGCAAGCCAAAAGTGGTCCAATTCAGACTTCCATCATTGGCTCAGGCTTCAATATATCATGAGGTAAAATACATATTACTATTATTAATTAAATATGTTTATTGAAACTGGTTTAATCAAATATCTTATTAGTTAAACTAGGAACGGTAAATTTTTTGTAACTGAAACATCAATATTTTATAATTGGATTACAAAAATATAATAGGTATGCAGAAAATCTTTAAAAAAATATGTTTTTTAAAATTTCAAAATGTTATTGAGACAAAAGGAAACAACAGTAAAGAATTATCTTTTTTGTATTTTAAGTTGTACACATGTTAAATAAACATGGTATTCATTCTTTCATCATAATTTTGCAGCCATTATCTTTGGGGTCCCAGTTCCTAACTGAAAGTGCATTACGGAGGTGGGAGGAGTGCAATACTAAACTAGTGAGTTGGGGACCATTTCCACAAGTAGAAGTGATCAATGCCCAAAATCGGCTGAAAGTAATGTCAGCATTGCTATTTATTTACAATCGCCAACTGAGCCTATTACCGAAACTTGCTTTGCGCCATTTCTGCATAGCTGCATCCAGGTAAGGAAATATATATTGTTCAGTTATTTTTATGAAGCTAATACAATACTACATTTTTATGCCATGCATAATAGATAACCCACCCACAATCACGAAGCAACATGCCTCCAGTTTTCACAGTGGAACCGCTAAAGCGTAAAAACACTTTGTCCAAATCTATGACCCAAAGGGAATTTACGACCAAATCTGAGTGTCTTCAAGGCTCGAGTGAATAGGTTGTTTGAGGGTAAGCGTGTTCCGTCGCAACTCGCACCATCGCTTACTACCAGAGGAGATAGATGACCATGATAAATAAATAAAATCCAAATAAATCCATAGTAACCTTATAAAGCTCAATTTTGTTTATTTGAAAGTGCTAATCTACTGGAAACTACTTCGATCTAATCTAAATCTAATCTAATCGAACCACGATCAAATAAAACATTTATGTATTTGTTGAATAGTCCATTTTTTTGAAAAAGGCTTAAGGTGACAAAGCGTCGCGCTGCAATCAAATAGAGCCTATTGGTGTATAAAACCACGCGAGAGGAGCTAACTAAAGTTTTGCTAATTTTTCGTGTACTTTTCTATTTTATTTATTTATATTTCTTTTTCACAGAATAGTCACACAAGGTTTCAATAAGAAAATAACATCTGCATCTGGGAAACCAGTGCCAAGAATACCAGTGTCATCAAGTTTCTTATTGGAAATGATTGAAGGTGCATATTTTGCGATGTTCAACGAATTCTATACACTGGCTCATCAAGCAGTCCAAGATATTGACCAAAGGGCTCAATATGAACTATTGCCTGATGTAATGTTGGTTACTAGTGCTGTGATTAATTCCTTAAAAAATAATCCCTCAGGTATGTACTTTGATAATAGTTTATATTCATCACTTAATTTTAACTGCCTTTAATTGGTTTGTGGGTTACCAAGTAACCAAACCTCTTGGGTGCAATCCCTGAGTAGGGCAATATTCAGGATTTCCATTTTAAAATTCTCAATTATGGAAAGGAGTCTGCAATAAAGCCTGGGTTGTAATCTGTATGAATAAAATATGGGCGAACAGAGTACAGTCAGCGTCAAAAATACAGGTACCACCTTAATTACCATTAATTGTTTATCTGTCCCGATATTTGTGACGCTTTCAATGAACCTAGTTATATGGTGACTTTGTTGTACCGATATTTTAGTAGTTTGTGTGCGTCTATATAATTGACTACTCTGAATGTCTCTATATACCTATTTGACGCTGAGTGTACCTATCGGACTCTGTCTTCTCCTTTGGAGCATAACAGGTGTAATGATATGTTATATACAGCTTTCTACAACAAGAAGGTAATAAAATGATATTAAAACACACAAACACTTGAAAAAAACCTTTAGAATAGTGTTTGACATACATCAGTTTTATACTATTTATTTTTAATTCATAAGTAATTGTAGAATGTGGTACCAGATTCCATTGAAGTGGAACTCATACTACTTTGATAATTTACTCATTTATTAGTAATAAACAGCATGAAAATATTGACGTTTATCTATTGATCAAAACATTTTAAACCAGTATTAATTACTACTATTGTAGAAATTATCATAAGATTTGAGTCACAAACTCAAGCAGAATGCCCGAGTGACCACTTAATAAGATAAGACGTCAAGACTAAGCAGTCTGAAAAATGGCATGTGTTGACTTGTGACTCAGCCTTTATCAGAGGTATAAACCTTACATTAAAACTGATTATTTAGGACCCCTAGACATCCTTTTATTTTGTGGGGGTAAAGCATCCAATTACTTCTTCTGCGTGGCCGTGGTACAGTATTGCGCTTGCAACAGCAAACTTAACTTTCCGCAGACGCAATATCGTAACCAATGAGGTTAATCCGAGGTGCAATTATTGCTAGTTGAAACCGGCCACCGTAAGCGCGGGTCTGCTGACGGCGAGTAAGGGTAGCTCGCTGCCCGACCAGAACCAGACCCGAACGCACGGCGCGTGGCGTTCCGCGCGCCCCTTAAAAGATCCAATAGACCACCACAGACAGGGCCCTACAGGGCTAATATTCAGTCGGGGTTCCGGGGCAAGCGCAATGAGGAACCGCGGCCACGGCCTAAAGTAGGAGAAGGAACGGGTTTTAGTCAGTAAGAGTCTGACACTGTCTCTCGCTTTACCCTGGGCGGGAGAAGTCGTTTGATGATTTTCCCCTGACATAAACAAACCGCAATCACCCTTAAAGCGACTAACAATCGAGGGATGCCCAGCAGGACTCTCTATACTATCATTGAAATAACAAGCTACCTACCAAGTGATGAGAGACTTCAACCCCCAGTACTAGGAGAAGCCTTTGTTCCGCAATGAATATCTTCTGACTTATTATGGGCGAAGAAATTAACGAAGTGTACTTTTATTTCAGGACAACCATGCGACGGCCCCATGGGTATTAGTGTTGCACTGTCCCCAGCGACTACTACTGTGACTATGTCGAAGTCCATGATTACTAATGCATCATTCCGTACTAAGAAGTTACCAGGTGAGAACAAATTAATTCTAGTAATGACCATTTGCTATATACTATAACAATCATATAATAAGATCAGTGTACCTACAGACTATGGATAAGAAACGTTTGCTAAGATAGCAGTTGCAGTTTCAGGTATTCTATACATTTTCTATACACATCTAAGTAACAAACTGCGTAACAGCAGGTGTGTGTACTCCATGACAAGGACTTGGAGGCCACTTACGTTAGTCGAGTTAGTGACCAAAATGACATTGACTACTATCTCGCCATGTATAAATTTAAAAAAAAGAAAATAATGACGTAATAATTTGTTGTTACTCCGCCATCTGATCAATAGAAATCATTAGTCATATTTATGATATTGTATTACAACATTTTTGGTTTACGTACAGATGAACAAATATGCATGCTGCCAAATGCATGCTCCTCGCCTCGTTCTTTGGATTGTAGCTTGTGGACTAAAAACGTTGATTGTATGTGCAGTGATATTGATAATTATATTATCACAAACCTAATACACGCCACTTCATTGGCTTACAAAAATATAAAATGAAGCTAATTATTTATCAATAACTGAAATTAAATAAAACGGAAAAATAAACTAAAAATTACTAAAATTTGGCTTTTATAGGAATATCCACAGTGCACTTTAAACATATCCGAAGCGTGCGGCGCGGTTTGCCATACAAAACTTTAAGTCCATTGCTATGGAAACTATTGATCCAATTTTTGCTGAAAAATTGGCATTTATATCCAAGGCTAAAATCTAAATTAAGATTTTATTGTAATATCCTTCTTCAAGCTAGTTGTTATACATGATTTAAGTTTGTATAAAACCACAAAGCCTCTTTTCATCTAAACTTTTTGATTAATTTTCATTTAATAGGCTCAATGGTTTAATGATTTTGGACTTGAAAATTTGTATGGAAATCCGCACGCTTTCGATGCACTTTGTGGCGTTTGCTGCAGACACAACCTTCTTAAATTAAACACTAATGTTTTCACTTCCTCAATAATTGTTTGAATTTAAATCTAATATACCTAATATCAACAAAGCTTTTAGGAGCCATGTCATCAAGAAAATCACGCTTCGTTGTAGTTTATTATAATCGATTTAATAATAAATAAACTTTCCATCGTAATTTTTTATGGAATTGCAAAGAAAATATCTTGATCATAATATACATTACATACCTACACAAGCTGTTCATTGCCTACAATACAACCACCTAACACCTAAAACAATACATTTAAGCGATTCTCTAGCGCTACACTGGTTCATTGTGAATGTTCTTAGTTTCTATAGACAGTATATAGAAAGACAATCAAGCGTTGTGGTGTGTTCTTTTTTGTTTTACCTGAATTCAGCAAAGCTCTTGTTGCATACATTGTATTTTTTTTTTCAGATGACATTCCTATTCAAGCTGGACAAGCCGTAGCAACTGATTCAGCAGATATGTTGACTGCAATCACCGAGGAGTGTGAAGCTGAAGCTGCACCAATACAGCGTGGCGCTGCAGTCCGAAGTTCCAAACCTAAACTAAGTGCATTTCCCGTACTTGGTAAAAAAACAAAAGATAGTAAAGACAAAAGTGCAAATTCGGGCGAGAAAAAAGTTACACTCAAAGAGTCTTCCAAAGGTATTTGGAATTCACTGAGCGGTGGCGGCGGCGGCGACATGGTAGATGCACAACAGAAGTCGAATATTACTGATAGTTCAGTAGAGGCAAATGGCAGCATGAAAGATGAGAAAATGTCCATGACGTCTATGCATAACAGCACTGAAAACTCTGACACGCGGTCGCAAGTCACTTCCGACTCGCTGGACATAGAAACGACTCCACGTTTTGCGGCAATGCAAGTCAGTTCAGTATAACTTTATGAAGTTTATGGTGTCAGTTGTTACAAAGTTAATTTGGTGATGTGATAGAATATGTTTCCAGGTGATAGCAAATTCTGTGTAACCTTCAAAATATTTTAAGGTCATTTTGGAAGTGGTTACTTGTTACGTTGGTTAAACTTGTTTTTGTTAATTGCAAAATTATATAGGTATAATAATACAATGTCAATCATACTACAATATAAACTAAGAAATTATGACAAAACTATTATTAGTTACCATTAAAGAATACTTCGTGTTCTTCGGCTATAAAAATCACACTTGACCCATATCCCTTCGTACAAACGAGGTAAACAAATAAATGAGAACAATCTCATTTCCCATTTATTACCTCCTTTCATCAGGTTACTCGCCAAGTAGCTCATTTGCGTTGCGTCGACTCTCTGGTGAAGTTATAGGAGCTTTTCCCTTATGTATAGGTATGAGGAACTCTTGTGTAAAATGCGTCTTGCCAAATTCAGTGAAGGAAGGCCTACATACTGCCGTACGGTCGGGTTTCCGAGTGACTTTGTAAGAAGAGCCTATGCCATCTTAGATACACATTTGAAAGAAATGGGATGAAAGTTACTGACTCTTTATCCTTCCTTTCTAGCGGAACCTAGCTAGTCTAGCTCCATGCGAGTATGCTACTTTGCCTTTTTTGTTTTTTGTTTGTATTTAGATCTGCAGGTACCTAAGTCCCGAACATACCTCAAAGGTTTTTAGCGAATCAGCGCTGCTTCTCAGCTTTACTTGCGTCGATGCGCAGAAGCCTGTGTAGTATTTAGTGCATCGGCCCCTGAGAAACTCCATTTTACATGCCCTTTCTCTTTTTCTTCCCACATAAGAGCAAAAATTAAAAGCGTAAAGTACCTAAGCCTTTTTTGTGGATCTTGCGGTGTGTTCAAAAGTACCTAATATATCTCCCAATTCTTTCAGAACTCCAGATACGTTTCCTAGATAGGTAGGTGGCCTCTTTTAGTGCCACTGTGATCTCAGTAGACATTGACAACATCTGAAGGCTGTTGTGTAAAGCAGAATGAAGCTTATCAAACAACGTATCCTCCATAACCAATCAGATTACTTGAGTCGTTGGCCCTAAACTCCTTAATATCCCAGTTCTTTCGATCTATTTCTATATTATGCTCTTTAATGACATTATCTCCGACCTCCATACCTTGCTTTGACATCGAAAAGTTTGTTTGTGCACTGTTTCATTTTAGCATTGCATCAAAACCACCCAAGCGAACGCCGGCGTTCGCGCACATATTGTTAACTTAAAATGTCTGTTCTTGCCGACTCACTGAGTTTTAATCCCCAAAAGGTCGGCAACGCACCGTAACTCCTTCGTTGTTGTGTGAATGAGCGGCACTGATTGCTTACCCTTAGGTATTTTTTGTTAAATGAAAGGAAGAAATGTTGACGTACTTATATTTATTTATAGACTCTGTTGTGCAAACTGTTTGTTACAAACTCATATATATACCTAATATAAATTATTCAGAATAAAATTCTTATTAAATGATGGAATGTTATTAATTTTATCCTTTTGCAAAATTGACACATTATTTGTATCTACCGTACAACAGAATACTCGTTTAGGTGCCTATTACGGCTATATGCCTAATATGTAATGTAATGTTATTATAATTAATATTAATATTTATTATTCTCTTAACTCACCCAGTTACACTTGCAGATATTTCTCCAAAAAGACATTGTGATGTAGGTACGACAAATTTCTTGTATTAACATTAATACAAGAAATTTGTCGTTATACTAATATTATTCAAAAATAATTGCATCGTTCTGCCACACCTGTACAATTGCTTTGTTAATTAGAACAGCGGTTAGGTATTAATGAGGAAAACTACTGTTTATTAATAAAATTTATAAGTAAGTACGTATTGTAGGTACCTAATTTATACAAAATATTATCAAAAAGACTTGACATGCTATACATGATATGAAGTGGCAAAACTGACACACAAAAGGACATTTTCTAAAAAATGTAATCACAATTTGTTTCCTTGTAATCAACAATTTAAGTAGGTAACGTAAGTAAGTACTTTGATTCTAGTTAATTTATCTTTGTTGCTTGTCACTTTGCTCTTTAAGGTTACTGTTATCACAACTTAATACTACAACATTTCGTGTTTATTCATTTGTTGAAGATACTTTTACTGATATAAATAATAGTCATAGTAGAACAGGTTTCAATCGCATTTAGGGTGCCATTAAGTTCACGGTTAATTTAAAAATGAAGTGCGTACTTGCATTGAGTGTTTTCGTGCTTATTGCAATTTCTTCGTGTTTTGCTAATGACCTAATAATTGGGACCAGCTACAATGCCCGCTTGTCGTGGCAGCACAAAGCAGAATACATGGGTATCCCATTCAAGAAGAGAGTGAAGGAAGTTTTCTACTCTGATCCTGGTCAACAAATAATTAAGGTATGTTAGCCTTGTCATTTCCAATACAAATGCCTATATTTAATTTATAACAGAAGCTGTGTTCTTATCCCCCAGTAGGAATATTAAAACACTTTTTTAACAGGATGTAAGGAAATTAGTAAAAAAAAAATATATTTTAATGTACGCCAGTGAACAGTGAAGCCGAAACAGAAATAAAACGGAAATACTTATATCCGGCTAAGCTAAATATTTAAGAGTCCCTTTTAGGGACAAAGGTGATAAAACTTTTTATGATATTTTAATTCCCGCTAATGTCTGAGTAGATAACTAAGGGAAGTTTGTTTTCATTCTGTAATTACGTATTTCTTTTAAAATGCGATCCAGGAAGCAAAATCTGACCGCGTCATTAACTATTTTCAGGGCATCATAGCGAGAGATATCGACCACACGTCAGGCAGCGCTACAGTCACCGCCGGTGGTGTTGGTTTCAGTTTCGCCAACATTCGTCTTAAGAGTGAACGTGGCAGCGGACTTAATTACCAAATCGAGATATATGTATAACATTTGATTGATGTCAGTTACTATCTTCCTATTCTAAATAAACAAAGGTCAAGTTCATTATAATAATCATGTCTAATTTTTAATACAAACTTCATCTATTATTTTGTTTCAATTCTGTAGATATTCTTATTACTTTTATCTACTATATTATTATTTCCTGTTTAATACAAGAGTTTATATTTTAGCCTATAGGTAGGTACCTACGTATTGCCGTATCTATAGGCCATAGGAAGCTAAGGTTCTTAGGTAGATATACCTACTTTAACAACATAAGCTATGACCTACAAGCCTACGTTACCTACATTAGGTAACTAGTATTACGTGACTATCACCGGGCGCTCGCGCTCATTAATAATTACCAAATGTCAACTTTCAGGAAAATCTATAGATTTTTAGTAACCATAGATATGGAAGGTACCTTTGTGCAGTTGAAGTAGTAGGTGCTTATTGGAGTAAGATCACGCTGTTGTTTATTACGATACAGATGTACTTTTGAACTCAATAGATACTTAGTCAATTGATAAACAAATAGCACATGCCTCATCGGCCGTATACTTAGAATTGGGCAGTAATAACAATTGCAGATAAGTCACTATGTGGTTATTTTATTCATTTTGAAGAGTTAAAGATAGATATCTAGGTACCTAAATGTATAGTTAAAAGCTATTAAGTAAGTTTCAATTAATTCACTTGACATTGTTGACGTAAGATTTTGTAACTCTTGGACCCGATGCGATTGTTGTATTGATCTTCACATCTCTTTGCCTAGGAACAATAAATATGTTTCTGTTGACAATGTCTTCGGATGGCACCGCAAAAGGGATGCTATCTAAACCGCGCGGTATCGCTCTGGGATTATTTGCTTCTAACAGTTGTTGTAGTTTGTTGATTACAGCAGCCTGTTCGTCACGTTCCATCTCATTTATGACGATAGGTAAATTGGCCGCACATATCCACAGGTAAAACATTCCCACTGAAAATTACAGTAAAATAATAAAACATCTTCACCTGTTTTTGGGTGAAAATTAAGTAGGTACTTCTTTGAATCAAATCAAATCAAATTCTTTATTTCAAATAGACCAAAAAAGGCACTTTTGAACGTGTGAAGCAGTTATGTTCGCAAAGAGCAAGCAAGCCTCCTCCAGGTGACACTCCGGGAATCGGGGATCGAGAGACGTCTGCAGACGGCGACTAAGGGTAGCTCTCGTCGTCCGACCAGAACCAGATCCGAGAGAACTACGCGTATCGTTCCGCGCGCGCCTCAAGGAACCAATACCTACTTAGACCACCAAAGCCCTAAGGCTAGGGCTGATGTTCAACCGGGGTTGCGGGGTAAGCGCAATGAGGCACCGCGACCTCGGCCCAGAGCAGGAGAAGGAACGGTGAAGGGTGGGTTAGTCAGTAAGAGTCTGACACTCCCTCCGGAGAAGTCATTTAATGATTTTCCCCTCACGTAAAAAACACCTATTTTAATCTAATAATATCATAATATAGATATTTTAAGTCCAAATTATAATAAGGAACTTACAAAGAAAAAATCCACCAGCAACACTCGCTCCTATCAGCATACCAATATCCATGGTGTTTTGTTTGATTAGAAGCAATACAGTTGCGATTAGGACGGAAATTATAATGAGTCGCAGCAACTCCATAAGTATATAGAAGACCATTAACATGTTGTTGAACTGGCGTTAAAAGAGAAGTAAAGATTTATAAAAGAAATAGTCATATGTAGGTACCTACCTACTTTGTAGGACAATTAAAATTAAATGAGTATTTACCGTATATGCCCCATAGATGTATACAACACACACAATCATGTAAATACTTGTAAAACTAATTCCAAGCGAAATGTATTTATCTGGATCTGTAAAAAATATAATAGTGAGAGAATAAGGCTTATTCGATCATAGGAAACAAATCACCTCATTTACGTACCAGCTTGAACATCCTCTAAATAACTCTGAGCATAAATAAGATTGTAATTATGAATCCAGTTAGTAATCGCATCTTTGACCAATTCAGGCCGACTGTGTCCCAAGCAACAAAATACCAACAACACAAGGCCCTGAAACTAAGGAATTCATTATTGTTTCAAGCTCAAGATTTGTGGCAGTAGGTACAGACATTTCACACAAATTGATATGGATTTGTCACTTACCACCATTACCACTTACCAGTGAAAATATTCCAATTAAAATGCCTCCTAAACGCAAAGAAAACCAAAAGCAGCAGCTATATACTAACGCCATGATAAAACTTTAATAAATATCACATTTTTATTAGCTTTATAAATGGTGCGAGGGGTTGATATTCAAATCACGGCCCACGACAAAATGTTACGTGTCCAAGTTTAATTTCATTGCATCATGACATGTCCCTACCATTTAAGGCCAGTTATAATAGCTTGGGTATAATAACAACGAATTACGATAATTGCTGCTTGTATTGATCTAATAGATTGTCTCCGATATCATTTTGGGGATCAATACGAATGAAAAAGAATCATTGATTGGGTAGGTAGCTTATTTAGGTTTACATAATAATTTACAATAAGCTTTAAGAATTTACAAGACAACACTTTTAATAATATGGTTGGCGCAGTTGTTGCACAACGGGCTACTGATTAACCGAAAGCAAGTTGATTCCAGGAATTATAGATATGTAGGTACTTTGTGTGGTCCATACTACTAACTGTTCCGGAGCTAAGTAATGTGTACGTATGATTCCGTTTGCAAATGCAGCATGAGATAGAAGGAAATTCTAGCGATACGACGATTTACACAAAACACATTATATACTAGGTAAGAATAAAGAATAGGTAGTCAGAAACTGAAATAATCACAAAAACTACGTGGTTCCGTAGTAAAAGTATAGCATAATGGATATATAATTGTTTGCGTGTGGTTTGAGTTAGTACTTTCTAGTTCTATGAATCAGAACCGGTTAAATCTCCTCGGATTTCACCATAGCACGTCATCGTACTTAAATGCTGTGAACTGGGAAGCGGTGTGGGTGGGTGCGGTCGTTGATCTGCTTCAATTAATGTCGAACTATACACACATGACACATGTAGGTCAGTCTAATCCAGTCTTTTGTTGACTTGCTCCAAATACTGTAATTATGGTCAAAACATTAACCTAGCATTACTGTCACCCAGTAAACATTTGCAGTGGTGATCCGTGATCCGTTAACTAGAAAACTAACCGAGATACATAGTACCGGATCATTGAAACTGATTAGGAACCTACTACATAATATTAGGTAGGTAGACGCAGCGATAACTATTTTATATTATTTAATAGCGATAATTTGCTATATTATATTCTTTTAAGGAAAGAATTGAAAAAATCGCACGTTACACATCGTAGCATTATCATAATAACTTTAGGTATACACCGCTACGTGAACCCGCATGTAATGGAAAGCAATGTAGCACAAATAATCGTAACTCAATTATCTGCACAAACAAAAACCAGGAAAGTAAATTATGAGACAAAACGGTGAAGACAAATAAAATGGTGTGTAGAAATTATTTTTATTTATTAATTTCTTCTGCAGTGCTTAATAGTTGCTGACAATTTAAGAACGAGATCTTGCAGTTAACATTATTATTTACATTTAATGTGTGCTAAGGCTTGCTTCATCTGGTTTAGTAATGGCACTATTTACTAATTTAAGCTGGATTGGCGGCACTAACTTATCAGAATATCAAAAACTAATTAAGATTCCGTCAATAATTTTTTCGTCGCAACAAAATATTAAGTACATTTTGCATATCCAGATGGAAATTTAATCCTATGAAACAATATCGGTACTTTATATTAATGACTTCATCATTCACCCAATACAAAATTTGAACAAAACTTGGCAAAATCTAACTTACAAAGCTATTTTTTGGCAAACACATTAATTTATATGTTATACATTGATAAGTAAAACACAAACACTGTTTGTGTCACAATGGTGCAGAATTCAGAATATGACTACAATACAGTCTTCTACATTATATATTTTTCCTATAGTCAAATATTTGATGACATCAAACAATTAACTGTGAATACGTTTTTGATGATATATTCAAAATCTACTTTGATCAAAAATCATTACCACCACCGATAAGGCAACAATTGTGTCAATGAACAAAATATACAATGTTTTAATGTCGTCTTGTGACGCCGAAGAACACACAAGTGGTGAAAATCTATTTTTGATCATTTCTAAGTACATATCGGTACGAACATTCAAATATTTGGTATTGTAATGGATGTTGAAGAAAGTTTGATAAAAATTCTATGATTGAATTTGACACACATCATGAATGTCTACAAGGAATTAGGTTGGCTACTCGTGTTTTAAGGTATATTTTATAAGTATAGGAGAGCTATGTTTGCTACACAGACAAATTATTTATTTTAACATTATTATAAGTACCACATAGTAAAAATACGCAAGTGATATTGTATAATCTGACGATATTTTTCCAGTCAATTAAAGCTTTTCTATCAACATGAAATACCTTATAAAATAAAACTAAAAAATTAAAATGCCATCAATTGAAATTACGTTTCATTAAATTTTAATCGAATTTGTTGTAAATTAAACTTTTATCGCACGTCGTTTACAAAGTCGAAATTAATAATAAATGTGATTATGTCTATACACTATTTACTAAAAAAATAAAACTTACCTTGGCAGCAAATTATAAAATGTCGTCGCTGTACGCAAAGCAAAAGTAAAGGTGTCATACTCATAATTACAAACTCGTTACTGAGTCAGAGATCATCAGCAGTGTACGAGCGACGACAAACGGAACCCAAAATTCCTAGAGCGAGATTTATACATTGAGCAATACTCTAAAATCTCACTCAGATTACAATTATTTAAAGTTAACATAAGTAGGTATAGAAGCAAAACAGTAACCTATTAAAACTAAAATTAGATAGGCATTATTTTAGTTTAGACATTTCCACCACTAAAATTTAAAGTGACTGGAACAACATGTTTAAATAAAGCAAAATTATAAATTATAAGTTGGAACTCATAAATCGCGTAACATGTTGAGTACATTTGGATCAAGTTTGGTTATAAGCTATCAAATTAGTTTAACTATATGTTAATGATTGAGGTACGCCATTAACAGTCTTTGATTTCAGGACCCCGTTCTCGTACGACATTACTGTCTCCCGACCGTTTTCTGTCACCCTGCAACAATAATTGAAATAATATTATCAAAAAATAATCACAGAAAAATATTTGCGCCTTAAATATTTATTTAATTATCGTTGTTTACGTGTTACAAGTACTATTAATCAGAATTAAACCAATAAAAGTTCCAAGTAGGCTACATTTGAATTATTATTATTAGACTTGACTCAAACTGGAATTCTAAAAAAATCTTTATTATTTGGAATGTTCCAGTAAATTGCTTATAATAAAATACCTTAATGCTCAAGGACTTTAGAAATTACCGTGCATTTTGTACATTCTAGAAATAATATTAATAAGAACCTCGCCGTAAAATGTATGGCTACTAACAATTTTGCAATGTTACTAACATAGCTGTAGGCCATTATTAAAATCATTTCAATGCAGTACAATTTTAAATTTACATACAATCAGAGACTACCTAAGTTGAATCCGAGCTATACTTGGTACACAGAATAGCTTTACCACGCAGGTCCCTAATGTTCTGCTTATAATGTACTATAAAAGAAAAGACAACTATAATAAAAAGTTTTCATTTTTCTTACTTTTTAGTCGTGATTTTCTTCCCGTTAACAATGCGCGTCGTGGTGGTAGTACTCCTCATGTTAGCGCTGCCGGGTCCCGCTAATGAACTATTGAATGTAGAGAATGAAGTGAACGTGTTCCCATTCGATGCGGCATGTGCAAATATATCATCGAGGCCTTGCATGCCGAACCCGAACGGACTGAACAGGGATGAAGTGAGGGAAGTGCTGGGGTGGCTTCGACGACCGTGCCTGTGGTGACCGTGTCCATGACCGTTGATTTCTAAAAAAGAAAACAAAACTTAATGATGACGTCAGAGAGCGCTACTGAATACTCGATAAATTCAAACCATTTATCTGTAAATATTTGCCAGTAACATTTATTAGATGAACAGAACTTTCCACGCCTCATTAAACAAACAAAATTAATATTCATTTTGTGCTCATTTGATGACACTAATTCAATATAAACAATATTATTTGAGTATAAATATAGTGCCTCGCATTATGTAATGCTTTGTTCGTTTTCAAATTTGATACAAATTCGAATCTTATTAATGTTGATGCACAGACTATGTAAATAAAGAAATGTTGTGTTTTAACTTATTCAAAGTTAAGGCACAAATGTAGCTGCAATTAGTTTCCAATTCGCAATATAAGTTTATCTATTGTTATCTCCGTTATTTATTCTTTCGGGTCAGTGTAACTTCCATTAGCAAACCTTTGTGTAGCGAAGATAACAACGCGATACATCGACCTAAATAAAAACCTTTTTACCTGCAGCTATAAAAACTTATTTATTATTGAATTATTATATATATTTTACCAGGAAATAAATCGCCGAATGGAGACCCGCCGAAGAATTCTCTGAAAACCTCTTCGGGGTCACGGAATGTGAACGGGAAGCTAGGGTAGCCGAAGTCGTAATCGTCGTCAGGAGCTGAACGCCTGCCTCTGCCGTTGTTCAGCCCTTCTTTGCCATACTGATCATATACTCGCCGTTTCCTTTCTGAAATAAACAATTACAAATATTATATTCAATTAGAACATATGATTGGAGTGTTAAAGGTCACTTCCTTTGTCACATCATGCGTTTAGTCCAATAATTCGACATAACCGATTCAAGTTTTCAAACTATAAGTAGGAACTGCAAACTGTATTTATACAGCGTACACCTAAGTGATGTCACCAATGCACGAAACTTCGGCAAAACGACCTTAGCTGCCGGCGTCTGCGTCTGCGATGAATTTCCTAGTAATCGACAGTTATGTGATCACGACTTGAATGAAAAAACTAACATAGTGATTTAAGTAAGTAGGCGTTGTTTAACATTATTTGATAATTACATTTTATATTTATTACGGTACACTACTATGTCTAGCCGCCATTCCCAGTGGATGTTTTAGAAGAAGAATTAAATACTTTTTTATAAGTACACAGATAAATTCTAGTGGTTCATTTGCATCTGTCTACCGATAAACCTATCGTTTATCGGTTTCAATGTCGTATCCTAAAGAACGTTTTGCTATATGCAATTCAAACAAGCCCTATAAAACAGAACTACGTGACCGGAAGGTTTTAAATAATCTCATAGGTCACGTAGTCAATTAAATATTAGTACCAACTTGACACAAGGTTTGGACCTTATGAGGTTACAAACACGAATAGTTTACTTTGCTACTTTTATCTGGATTCATTTAGCTGGTGTGAACATGAGTTTTGTGTCATTGAGTATCCTTGGGATCGTGCAAATTGCAGGACAGAGCGAACCTGATAGATTAACTTCTATACATTTCGCCTACTTTTTATCAAAGAAATAAATAGTAGTCTTCACGTAAACAACAAAATAACAGCTAGTTTAGGATTAGTACGCAATTGATTAATTAAGAGTTAGAATTAGAAAGCAAAGCATGTACTAAGAGTACCTACCTACTTACACGCAAATATAAAACATTAAGCATGATAAACATTCTGAAATCGAGTCAAGGTTACATTTGATATGAAACAAAGTACCCAAATGTAGGCCTAAGTATGTAATTATAGCAGAGTTTTAAGGTAATTTAACGGTTACGAGAAACTTAATTGGAACGTACATTTTTATATGCAGCTTCAATGTTAAAAGTTGCAACAAATACTCGTTTATGCAACTATGAGGTTTGCCGTTCCGAAATGTTTTGTGTGAATACTGAATGCTGGTAAATATTGTAAAATTGCAGAACGCGTGTGAGGATTCTGTTTTTAGAAAACACTTAGCATATCGTGTTTGAAAATAGTTGTTACGTAGGTTTTTATTTTAGGATATAATTTTTTGCTTTTGTAACTTTAGTTTTATTAACATTAATTTGATATCTAAATAAATATGATTAATAGGCATCCGTGTTTACTTGAAAGTAGTCCACGTAATACTTATACTTACTTTATTTAGTATCAAGAATTTAACTTGTATTCGAAGATTTCTGAATATACCTAATAGGTAGATTAGTAGATAAGTAAGTAGGTCCTTATTTATTTATACACTGTGCTTATAATTACTTTGTTTAACTTCCGTGATTTTATGTACAGTTACAATGACTCGCCAAACATATGTAATGTTCCCATTTTATTCATCACCACGAAGGTGAATCACTTCGTGCGTAGGAGGATATGTTCGTATGACTAAAAAAACTAACTTATGAATGTTTAACATAAAATTCCACGTTGATAATAACTGGAATTAATGTTAGGTGCATTCAAATGTAACTAGGTCCGTTTATTACGCCATAAAAGGGTTCTACTGCAACACCGCGTTATCTACAGGTAATCAGCTATTTCACTTCGATTTCGTCACTGGTAGATATAGCTTCGTGCCATTCTGACCGCCACAAACAATACACAGAATATGTAGGCATAATGCTTGATACACGTTCTTTACAGGTACTCACTATTTGGATTATTGGTTTCATTAAATTTAATTAAAACACCAAGACGCCAATATTCAAGCAAAAATATCATTATTTAGAGACATTGTGCACACCATTATCAGATACACTCACACTGAACTCAATGTTAGTCATATTGTTAAATGGGCCCAAACGAAAAATAAAGGTTAGGTTAGGTCTGTTTCAATACTGTTTTGAATATTATCATGGTGACTACTTAAGCAAATGATAATATTCACAACTTATTAAGCCAATCCTGCATTGAGTGGACAGCTACCAAAAAAGCGGTGGAATGGCGTTTCTCCGAAAAACCCTCTGAAGTTAAAGTGGCGATGCCCATTGACTCCATTCTTGCTTTGATATCTGTGCGCGTGATGACTGGATCCCCGTGCATCATATACTTTCCGCTTGTTTGCTACCCAACAACAAAAATCATTTTACACTTCTATATGAAGCAGCTACTATTAATCTTCATTACAATAAGAAATATTAATAGTGCTCACTGATTGTAAACATCTGTGGATATTGTAATGACTACATTATAACAAATGCTGCATTCCAAAATCTATGCAACAGTCATGGTAGATATTCATAAGATATATTTCTAAATTATTGAGTAGCTGTGGTATTCAGTAATTTAATGAATATTTATAAGTCTCTGAGCAATTTTGAATTAAGGATAATAAACTTTAAATAGTAAATATATAAATAATACATTATTATTATTATGGGTTTACTATATTAAGTGTACATTATAATTGTAAGTATAGGAAATTTAGAGAACTTTATTACCCAACAATAGCCATATTAAAGCCAAGATAATTGAGCAACATTGAATACTCCAGCTAAACAAACATAAATATTGTATGTATAGATAATTAATTAAATGCACACTCACCATCAGACAGAACTTCGTAGGCTTCAGATATTTCCTTGAAACGTCTGTTCGATTCATCTGCATTATCTGGATTCTTGTCTGGATGCCATTTCAATGCTAGTTTTCTGTAACTGTAATGAAAGAATCTTACATGACCCACTTTTTATGCATCTACATTTTTATGATGATAAAGGTTATAGGATCTGTATGCCCCGATCAAATGGCACATTTATAAAATATTCGGTAAAGAAGGTCTAGCAGTATATGATGATAGTCTCTAATGTTATGATTATAATGTTTTACATCAGTAGCTGATAACTTTACTTCACAAGAATTGAAGTTTGTTGAACTCAGCTTCTATAGAACATTAGTAACCGTCATGCAATCGATATGACAATACCTCAAAGAAAGAAACAATCATATCTCTAACAAACAAACAATTATGTACATACTGTAAATATAAAAATATTATTAAAATTCGAAATTGAATTTTCTATAAACATCTGTACAGGATGCCCTCACTCCTCACTATTCATACATCATTGTTTACATATGAATCATCATGAGTTATGCACTTATCAAAGAAAACAAAAAAGAAACTGATCTTGACAATTGCAGCACTTAGATCAAGGATTCCATAGAATGCAAGGTAATCCTAATAAATTTAACTAATTGATATAAAACTCACGCTTTTTTTATTTCTGCCTCTGAAGCGGCTCGAGTTACACCGAGTACCCGATAGTAGTCCACCATTGCTGGTCTCCCTCAAGGGATGTGAATATGTCTGGAAGAAAGATAAATATTTGTTAGAAAATAATTATACATTGGTTACATCATAAATTTTCATTATGATATTAGACATATCACTCATAATTTGCCCTAACTTTAAGCACAGAGAGTAAACCCACTGTTTATGGAAAATTTGCAAATGAATAAGTGTGAGACTGTCCTTTCAACTAGTGGTTTGACACTGGACTTGAGTTCAAGTTATTATGAATTTGACAATAACAGATAGAATGGACCTCATTTCATTGTAAAGACATGGCAGAGTCGAATAGTTTTTGTACTGTTCACCTAACTTACACAAGACAAAGGGATCTTAAGGTCTCATTTTAAAGTTACTACTTAATCAATGAAATATCACTGGCATGTTAAAGTTTTTAGTACATCATGTTGTTATACAGTAGGATCTGGGAATCATTATTTGTTAATTAATAACAAAGTAAAGATAGCGAATGTGACGGCTACTGAAGAGTAAAAACAGTGACAACTAACCTGTCACAATGCACACAAATACAAAATACAGTCGAATTAGCAATTTAATTCACTCATGTAATACGGTAAACTTTATTGTTTTAATACGTAACAAATGTTATTAAAAATAGTGGAACTAAATTATCTGAACATGGAAAACAAATCAATACATTTTATCATCATGGTGCTCAATAATGGTCAAGTTGTAATCACTTACATCCCGCAACAACAAAACATCTAACTTACCGTTTGGTAGGACAAAGTGAACAATAATTTATCTAGGAATCCAGAAAAATGTGAATATGTAAATGGCAGAATTTTAAACTGATGTTATTTTTTTTTGTAAGTACCTCAAAACACAAAAAGCGTTCCACAATGTCATTTCATTTGTCACAAAAAATGTCAGTAGGGATCGACACCTGTCAGACAAAACAATCGTAATTTTATGAACTTTACACACTATGGTTACTGAAATTATTGATGCCCTGTAGGTTATTATCCGATCAATATCTTTAAATTTGAGTCTCTCTAAATCTTTATATTAATATTTTAAGATATGTAATAAGAAATGATAAAAAAATTACAGCTCTAATTTTAACCGTTAGAATTTTAATACAAAGTAGTGTGAGAGATTCTAATCATAGATTGGTAAATTATTTACGAATCCACGAAGTTGCAAAAACAAGTTACTTATTGATTATTGAATAGTAGTAAATTCGTATGATATTACTAATGATTACAGGACTAATCTTAAGATTGGCAATATTTATTCTTATTCGTTCTCTTCTTGCTGGTGATGAATGACGAAATGTCGTTTCACAATTCGACTAAGTACCTACCTAATGAGTGTAGTACATGAATTCAGATGAAGTAAATAGAATTAGGTATTCTGAAAAACCAAGAGGCAACTTATCAATAATCGTTTTTTGTCACTATTTGTACAGAAAAAGAGCGTTAATACCTACCTACCTAGATACCACAACATTAAATAGGTACATAAAATAACATTTCTCGGTACATTGTTCCCAGAGTTGTTGATATATACCTACCTAATACATTTATTTTTAAAATGCAGCTTGCTACAGTGGAAAAAGCAGCAGCCCATTAAAATATAAAATAAGTTGTAAGTGACCTTGACTTTGTTTATCTAACGCCTTCCAACTAACATTGTCGCCGATCAAATGCCTAACTAGAGTATAGTACTAATTAAACAATTGAAACGTAACTAGGTACCCTCTTTAATCTTTAATTGCCTTCTCACTTCTCCTCTTCAAGGTATAACTTAAACAGATAAAAAATATTCAACGCACCAACATTCCCAGGACAAAATTTGCTTGGTTACCTAGAATACAACATAGGCACGTTAGATACCTACGTCTTTATCGATCACGCTTCGTAGGAACGGTCTTGCAAACCTCACTTAGCGTTTCTAGGACATGTCATCACCGTTCCTTTTCTTGTTTACCTACCGTGTATTTTGTAATGTAGGAACATACCTTCTAAGTAAATAATTAACAGACTTCTTGAGCGTATTGAATAAAATTTTGATACATGTAATCGTCTTAATTTCACTCCATACACAGCTTATCTTTTGTCTGGGAACAACAACAATATTCAGCTTAAAGTTGAGTAACGCCAGGTAACATAGATACGTAATTCAAGGCCAACCTCTACGTCCCTAGGACCTAGACGTCATAATTACTTCAAACATATTCTTATCTTAACTATATTTCTTGACATCTAATTTGTACGAATATATAGGTATCTATCCTAAACTCCTAAAATAATTTATAGCCTTTCCACGGCAATAGTGCATATTTATCCTTTTAGATCATTTAGCCTACACCTGTATTTATAAGTAGTATCTACACCTACATGATGTAAAAGATACATGATCTTGAAGTACAAACATAGGTTTATTTCGTATTGAAACCGAATTCTTATTTGGTAGACATGTGTGTGGGTGAGATTAGTTAAATGATCAAGATAAAATGTGTACTGTTAGAACTACAGAAAGTTTTAACTTCTAACTTAGAAATTTATCATCTAACTAGTAGATAAACTTCGTGTCAATAGTATGCATTTAAGTATTATGCAACTATTAGGTTAACATACCAAATGAGATCTACTTACAAAAAGTAGGAAAATAATAATGGTTGTAACATCGAGAATTATGTACCTACCCAATCACCTAATTTAACTAACTAATTAATTAAATCATTTAATGTATATTAAGTACAGTCTAGTTTTATCCGTCTCAGCAAAAATAAGCCAACAGCACTAAGTATATTTTGTATTGTGTAAACTAGTAAATGTAGAAGATATTGATACAAATACTATAACCCAATTCTCTTTCGTCAATAGGTATGTATCTTTACGTACTTAAACATTCGCGGAGACATCTAATTTATTGCCCCGTTCCAGCTAGCCTTATTGACGTATATTTTGATAGGTACAGATATTTGTCCCTTCGAAATGTATCAAACCATGTAACAATTACTTACATGCATTATAAAAATTAATCAGTCACAAGAAACAGACACTAATTTAAAGAGAGATGTACCTAAGTTAGGAATGTTAGGTGTTCATGCACAAACAAAAACAGCTAAACCAAAACAAAAGACGTCACTGATGTAACTTTCCGATGGTTAATATTATTGTATTTTATTAATACTTATATCCATTTGTAAGGTAAATAAGATATGGGGTACAAGGGCCAAAAAATTTTGGAAATAGGTACAATAATACATTATAATTTACATTATTATTTCAAAATTATTGAAAAAACACAAATTTATTATTTAGTCTTAAGCTACGATGTCTGGAGATGGAGGTAATGTTTTTTCTGGAAATAGGCAGAATACAATATTGTTGTATAAACCACGAGAACATTACAGATTAGATGGCGCCACTTCATACCACATTTGCTGTTATTGTTTCGATTCAATAATAACGTCCGTTACACATCGTATAAATTATTTGTTGTATATTTTGGAGCTGCAATATAGCAATTATGGTCACTTTAGCCCTAGTATATCTACACAAACCGGACCTTAAGAACATGGTAAATGTTTTGCACATTCTGAATAATTTGGCTACAAACCTAAACGTCAGTGTCATATTTCATAGACATAGTGATAAGTGTGTGGGATATTAGCCTCCAAATTATAGAGCAGGTTTACAAAGTTTTTGTACCGCGCATCAAGGAATTGTATGTTTCTGTTTTGATAGGTAATGGACACGAACCTTAAAATAACATTGGCTCTTCCGGTGACTTAACGTTGGTGCCAACCACGAATTGCAAAGTGATCTCCACCTGCACTAGGCAATACTCTGCGTAGCACTTCTCCGATTTCTTCAGTCTTATGCAACTATAGTTGGTTCACAAATGATTGAATGATACTATCTCGTTTTATATTGAACACACTTGCACTAAATGGATGACTGATCTTGTCCAATGACACTTGTTTTCAATTTGCATGAGTAACCAATAACACAATAATAAAATCAACCTTTGTTCACGAGATGACCAGCAGATGGAATTTTTTGCACATGAAATCGATAAAACACAGATTCTCAGTGGTGTAGTGTGGGCACGATAAGACAAAGCGTAGGTAGACGTAGCGGTAACGTAACCGCACCTACTAGTACAAACGATCCGAGCGCACGTTTTCCATCGACTGACATTCGAAGAAGCGAAAACTGACGAACGATTCACGAATGGAAACGAACAGCGGCTATTCGGCACAATAATAGCGCTAGTGGCGCACACCAGCTGACGTGCGCGTGAAGGACAACACTAGCTAAAGGTATAGCAAGTATATAATTCATTAACCAGTGTGTTTTACGCGAACTCTACCAATACGATGACCCATAAAACAGATATTTGAACAAGTCCATTAAACATTATGATTAACTTAATTAATTTAGTTTAAGATCATACCTAAATCTGGTTTGTATATTTGATATATAAAAGATGCAGTTACATTAACTACCAAGCTTAAACAATAGATTTAAATAATGAATACAAAAATAAATTGGTAGGATCGGCACATCACTAATCACTAGATACGTAGGTATATAGTATAGGATCATAAGATCTGTACTAACATATTTATTTTCTCAATTCGGTACATTTCTAATGTGCACTTAGGGTTGGCATTAATATTCTCTTATGAAATACAAAAAATGTCAAAGAATTGATTAAATATATAACACAAAAATGCTATCATAGAAGTTATACTAACTAAGTGCTAGTTAAATCCATATTATTCACATAAAACGAAAAACCTACCTACGTGGATATTTACCTTCTTTGCAGAAACAAATTAAGTGTGAAATGTTAAACCCGCCTGCAGACATCGCATTAAGTGTGGTATTCAGCATCACTCGGCCTTCAGGAAACCGGTTGCAGTACAGTCACTACAGCTGATACGGCAAGACTCACGTCACTACATGCTAATAACGCGGCGGAGTGACAGAAATTCATTCAACTCGTATTGAGTGACTCAACATAGCATCGAAGATCGGTCTATTGTTAGCTTGTTTGTAAATTAAACGGAAGCTACGACAACAACTTCTTCAACAAAAATATCAATTGAAGTCATTTAATGGAATGGTGGGCGAATGATGCCGCTAAACATCCAACTTAGTCATTCGAGAAAGCGAAACATCACCTGAGCCAGACCAAAAAATAGAGCTAAAATCGGACGGTCAGAATGTAGGCAGGATTAGCTCGTTACTCATGATTCGTAAAGTATGTGGGCGAAATATGTAAAGACTAAACTCTATTGGGTGTATCTCGTTTTGTCTTAATTTTATAAATGTATACACATATCAGCTCAAAGATGAATCGGCAGATACCTTCATTTGATAATATGGAGGTGGATCAGCAGACCGCCATTTGGCCATTTAGATACGTTTATGCCAGCCAGGAAGCTTCCAAGTCTAAAATAATGTAATTCGTATTTAATTCCTGAATAATTGCGGGAGTAAAATAAAGTTCGGCACAAATGATCTTCCGGCAGCAGTATTGCCGAACCGATACGACCTTCAAACGTTTAAGAAACGAGCTTAATTCTTTTTAAAAGGGTGGTAACGCGCCTGTGCCTCCCCTGTGCTGCGGCGTCCATAGGCGACGGAAATTACTTATTACCATCGGGTGACCCGAATGCTCATTTGCCTCCGATTCCATAAAAAAAGATTAACCGGCTCGAACGCAGTATTACCAAGGTCTCATAGAAAACACTAGTGAAGCTACCACAGCGTTGGGTTTCGCTGTGTGTCTCCAAACCCCAAAATATCAATCCTCAAATCCCTAAAAGACCAGCTACGCAATTGTTACTCCCGCGGCGACGCCGGCGACGGTAATTTGTCGGAAAGTTTGTAAGGCTTAAAGAGAAATCCCATAAAAAAGGCCTATTCATTAGTAGACGCCATGGACAATTTAATGTTATTTGGAGAACTACGCATACATACTTACTAAGAATTATCGAGAACGGAAAATTTAAAACCTTGCTCAATCTAGGGTTTCAAAATGAACACCCAAGCACCCCCTTGACCTGCAACACCCATGCGCCCAAGATTATTGAATTTATTCACACTTAATCTAAACGCAATAAATCCCTCTTTACCTATAAGACTATATCGGCGGCGGCGACCTCTCGCGCCCGGCCTTAGTCGAGGCCATGGTGCGGAGTGAGAGGAACTGGGACGCCGTCTCCTCCTTTTGTGAAGCAGTCATGCTCGCAAAGAGAGAGGCGGCCCGCGTGAGGGAGCAATCCTCCTCCTCACGCCCCAGCAGCCGCAACTGGCGACACTACGGGCGTCGGGGATCGAGGGACGATCTCCGGCCACCGTAAGTACGGGCCTGCGGTCGGCGAGTAAGGGCAGCTCGCCGCCCGACCAGAACCAGGCCCGAGCGTACGGCGCGTAGCGTTCCGCGCGCGCCTCAAAGAGCCAATAGACCACCACAGACGGGGCCCTAAAGGGCTGATGTTCAGCCGGGGTTGCGGGGTAAGCGCAATAAGGTACCGCGACCTCGGCACAGAGCAGGAGAAGGAACAGGGGGGTTTTTAGTCAGTAAGAGTCTGACACTCCCTCCTGCCCGGCCCTGGGCGGGAGAAGTCATTTGATGATTTTCCCCTCACAAAAAAAAAAAAAAAAAAAACCTATAAGACTATCAACGAATAGTTACTTAATTATGTAATTCCGTACCATTGAAGTAATAATGCTCATAAAGCAACGCGGACATTTTAAGGATTTACTTTATCTTATTCGTTTGCATTAGGTATGTAAGTGTTCATTATCTAGCCATCTAACACCACGGACTTGTTTCAAAAGTCGGCCAAGAAACTCTTACGACAGTCGAATGTTATTCAAGAATTATCTACTTACTACAGGTTACATATGTAGGTATACTTACTGTGGATTTTTTTATGATAAACTTTCTAACTTTATTTATTTACTGTCAATGTAACTTTTCACACTTTTGATTTCTTAAACTACTCTGAACGTATTAGGTACATATTATATACTATTTTGTATGGCAAACCTCTTAATCAATGATAATCTAGCTAGATGACAAATTATAGACAGCTATTATTCAAGTTTTTAGCAACATTCTGAAATTGTTTACAACACAAGTCAAAGTCAAGATGAGTTATGTTAAGTTCTAAATTTGTATTTGTTTTGCAACAATTCTTGACACTGTTATCTACATTTAATTACTTACGTATTTTAGTAACCCGCAAGCTGTTAATGTCGTGTTTTTTCAACTATCTATATACAATAAAAAGAAACATAAAAACGTCAAACTAATGAAAATATTTACTGAAACAAATTTTCAGTTCAATATCACAATTCGTCAATTTATCATCAATTCTGTAAACACGCTAGTATTGGGTGTATTAAGGTTAAATTTTTAGCCCTCTGCGGACTATCAACGAATAGTTACTTAATTATGTAATTCCGTACCATTGAAGTAATAATGCTCATAAAGCAACGCGGACATTTTAAGGATTTACTTTATCTTATTCGTTTGCATTAGGTATGTAAGTGTTCATTATCTAGCCATCTAACACCACGGACTTGTTTCAAAAGTCGGCCAAGAAACTCTTACGACAGTCGAATGTTATTCAAGAATTATCTACTTACTACAGGTTACATATGTAGGTATACTTACTGTGGATTTTTTTATGATAAACTTTCTAACTTTATTTATTTACTGTCAATGTAACTTTTCACACTTTTGATTTCTTAAACTACTCTGAACGTATTAGGTACATATTATATACTATTTTGTATGGCAAACCTCTTAATCAATGATAATCTAGCTAGATGACAAATTATAGACAGCTATTATTCAAGTTTTTAGCAACATTCTGAAATTGTTTACAACACAAGTCAAAGTCAAGATGAGTTATGTTAAGTTCTAAATTTGTATTTGTTTTGCAACAATTCTTGACACTGTTATCTACATTTAATTACTTACGTATTTTAGTAACCCGCAAGCTGTTAATGTCGTGTTTTTTCAACTATCTATATACAATAAAAAGAAACATAAAAACGTCAAACTAATGAAAATATTTACTGAAACAAATTTTCAGTTCAATATCACAATTCGTCAATTTATCATCAATTCTGTAAACACGCTAGTATTGGGTGTATTAAGGTTAAATTTTTAGCCCTCTGCGGACTCGTGGTTTGGTTTCTTGCCGTATGTGCAACTAACATTTATATTCTTGTTTATCAAGTAACTCTGTAACATACTACGTATTTGGGTACTTAAGCAGTTACTTAAATCTTTTAGCAAAAAGGAGGTTAGCAATTAAACCGCGCTATCTATGATAGATTTCATCATAAAAATATTCACACACGCTAGCGCACTATTCTTATTGATTAATGGTGTGTTCTCAAGTAGGCACTCAATTTCTATATTATTATCTAATTTGCATAAAATAAAACATTTTCTGTGATGATGATTGGTGAAAGTTCCTAAAATGTGAATATGTTGAAAGAAGATACAAGTAACTGCGTATCTAGATTAATATTCACAGCGTGTAATTGGATTTTTAGAGAGTTGTTTAATAACAACGTATAAATAGGTACATATTCGCCTACCTATAATTTCTTAACACTCAACAGGCAAAACCGAACGTAAAAACAATATCTTAAGTGCGAAGTGAACTTGACGAGTTTGTGAGTTTTACCTACGTTGACTTTCTCATCCTAAACAAAATATTTGTTCTTTATAGTTGTACTTGAAGATGGAAATTACAATAAAGAGTTTAAATCATTACTTAAGGTCGGTGCAATAAATCCACTTCCTCTCCCTATCGCTATCAAACGTCATCCTAACTTCCCTGCTCAGTTCTCCATCATATCATTCCTTCCTCCCACAATCTATAAATTTTTTCGTCTTCTTTCTTTCCATACAATGACACGAAAATCGCTAGTACTTCCACATAATTATCTTTATATAAAATCCTAAAAATATCATCAATCATGAACAACCAGTTATGAGTGCGAAATGTTTTGAAGCAAAGTTCCCATGATCTTACTGACCGGACGAAACCAACACATTTGCTAGCCCCTCCAAACAACAGGAAACTCTCGTTGAAGTTATTGATGGCACAATTTGTGTTTTATGTATAGTATGTGTGGAAGCATCATGT